TTTTTTATTGACTCCAAATTTCGGATTACGCGCTTGTACATTTTGAACAAATTGGTACAAACTAATGAATGGCTAGCACGTATAACGAAAACACTAATTCAATCTGTTCGTTCTACACTGTCTTTTGTCACCCGAGACAGTTGATCATTTATATTTCACGCGTCCAAAAACTAACTGCTATCTGGAATGCATTACGTTTAATGGCGACAAATTTCAATAATGATTGCTTTCTTTCATGTGAAAATGATTTATGAAAATCTATTTACTTTGTCAACTATGTTTTTATTGTGAAAACAACTGATGTATGAAATGGAAAAAATAAAATCAAGCAATCAATCAAAAAATTGTTTTTAGAATTGTTCAACCTAGAAGTCTAGCCTCTTCCGCATTTGATCGTCTGCCAACATGTTATTTTGCAATGTAAATCTCCGACTGAAACATTTCATATTTTATATCGTGTCATACAAGTCTACTGAAGACTTAAATTTATTGCAAGGCGGAAAACAAAATCTGAGAAGCATATTAAAAAGGGGCAAAGCTATTGATCAGTCTTCTGAAACGGTTGGTCAAGTTTATTCATAGATTTTTCTAAAGCATTTGATACTGCTATTCATGATATCCTTCGATCTTTACAAACCTTCTCACTATACAGTGCGTCCCAGAAAAAAACGAAACCGAGAACTATCGGTGTTTTATCATAACTTAGTCACATTTATAATTAATAAATGACACATTAGATCCTCCTCTTTCATTTGATGCAACTCATATATTTTACGCATGAGTGATTAAAATAAATTTGAAGAGAGGAAACCAAAAATTCATTTGGCGGACGGTATCTGAATTTCAAAGAGAAAATCAATTTTCTAGAAAGTTGAGGTTCTTTCATTATGACACCTCAATCAGGAAAAATGAGCAAGGAATGACAAAGTTCTTTTTGTTTAAAGTAGTGCTTGCATTTTCATAATTTTATCAAACAAAGTCGTTTTCACTTGGTGCCTGTCGTAGCAACAAACATAGTTGACTTCAGACTTAACTCCGTTTCGTTGACAATCAGCCATGCATGAAGTCTTTCGTTTACGGCTGATTGTCAACGAAATTAAGTTAAGTCTCTTGTTCGATACTTCTCGGTTTTTTATTTCTTTTTCCAGGACGCACTGTATATACAACTCAGGGAAAACCGTAGGAGTGGTTTAAGAATTATTTTAAAGGGCGCTCCTAGTTTGTTTCACTGAATGTTCAATTTTCTGAAAGTTAACCTGCCTTTTGCGGAGTTCCGCAGGGCAGTATTCCGGGCCCATTGTTGTCAATTATTTATATAAACGACATTGAGAAGTCATTTTGTCTGCTTCAATTTATACTTTTTGCTGACGACTCGAATATTTTGTATCGTGATCCAGAGCATTTGACGCAAATATTAAATAACGAACTTAAAAGTTGGATAAAAGCAAACAAACTGTCAATTAAAGGTAAAGACCAGTAATGGTCATGCGATTGCATTGTGAAAGAAACGTTGTGGAATCGATCAGAAAAGGTTGATCATCTAGCATCTAGCATCTGCAAGGTTCTGGAATCATCAAAATGATAAGAAATTTGGCCCATTCTTCGTAAAGTTACAAGCACTATACACAGAAAGATGTATATGGCACTACCCTATCTCTCTCACAAGACCATGAGAGAAATAAATTTACCAAATATATGAATTATTAGGCGGTTTCCCGGCAAATTTTTTATCATCATGTCTTAGTCAAAACATATTCTTTCACATGATTGGTAATGAGAGCTTCCATTTCATTTTTTGAAAGTGGGGCGTTTCCAATACTGGTCTTTACCTTTAACTCAGACAAAACTAGTTACATGCTATTTAGTTATAAGGTTGCGACTTTGCCTAATTGTATAACTTTTGATGGTACTGTCATTCAAAGGGCCCGATCAACTAAATTTTTTTTGGGGGGGGGGGGGGGGGGGCTAGTCATTGATGAAACACTATCTTGAAAAGCGCACATTGACAATATCTGCAAAATCATTGCTCGCGACACTGGTATCCTTAGCACATTTAGACATTTTCTACCCCTTTATATTATATTATCCTTGTAAATTCCACGTTTATTCTGCATTACTTGCTATCATACAATGTAAGCAAATCTCTTGTCACAATTAGGCTTTTGTATACATATTTCATCATCTGTTCGATTTTCCCCTTGTTAATTCAAATAAAAAGTGCAATATTAAGGATATTGATTTGTGGCAAAAATCAGTACTCAAGCTTTCCATTGATATTGGCGGATTTGAACCTCGGACATCAAAGGTAACAGCACACCAGTAGATCGAGATTCTATTGTGCAACCATAGAAAACGGCAGCTGCTTGGAATAATTTGTTGCCAGTTGGGTCTCCATCTCTAAAAATCTCCTTGGTTATAATCATGGAGTTACTAGCTAGTAACTCCATGGTTATATACCGCTGGTTACATGAACTAGGGTCGTTCAGTAACCTTTTTTTTCTCTGCGAAGTTTTGCTGCGATCTTTTTTTCTGGCTTTCAAAGATCAAAAATTCTTGGTTTGCGAGTTTGTCGGTTTGTGTTTAGTCCGGGGTTTAAAGTGAAACTTCGACAATGGCGGAATTATTTCGCGAAGCAATAGAGCATAATGTGTTTAATTTACCCACAAAATGATGCACTACGTTGTTGTTGTTGTTGTTGCGATTAATGGCGTTTCCATCCAGTGGCGGATCCAGGGGGGGGGGGGGGGCCCGGGGGGCCCGGGCCCCCCCCCCCCCTTGAGAAAAAAATCATGTAAAATCACGTGATTTTTACGATTTTTGGGGGTTGGGTCCCCCCCCTGGCGCTCAAGGGGGGGGGGGGGTGCAAATTGAAATTTTTTTGAGGATCAAAAAAAAAAAAAAGTGCTCACTACCCCCCCCCCCCACCCCCCCCCCCCCCCCTTGAGAAAAAAATCATGTAAAATCACGTGATTTTTACGATTTTGGGGGGTTGGGTCCCCCCCCTGGCGCTCAAGGGGGGGGGGGGTGCAAATTGAAATTTTTTTGAGGATCAAAAAAAAAAAAAAAGTGCTCACTACCCCCCCCCCCCCCCACCCCCCCCCCCTTGAGAAAAAAATCATGTAAAATCACGTGATTTTTACGATTTTTGGGGGTTGGGTCCCCCCCCTGGCGCTCAAGGGGGGGGGGGTGCAAATTGAAATTTTTTTGAGGATCAAAAAAAAAAAAAAAGTGCTCACTAACCCCCCCCCCCCCCCCCCCCCCCCCCCCCCCCCCCCCTTGAGAAAAAAATCATGTAAAATCACGTGATTTTTACGATTTTTGGGGGTTGGGTCCCCCCCTGGCGCTCAAGGGGGGGGGGGGGGTGCAAATTGAAATTTTTTTGAGGATCAAAAAAAAAAAAAGTGCTCACTACCCCCCCCCCCCCCCCCCCCCCCCCCCCCCCCCCCCCCCCCCCCCCCCCCCCCCCCACTGAGCGACTTTTCGGCCGGCGCGTTTTTCAAATTATCGGGAGCAAAAAAAAAAAAAAAAAAAAAAAAAAAAAAAAATTGTGCTCTGTACCCCCCCGCCCCCCCCCCCGCACTGAGCGACTTTTCGGCCGGCGCGATTTTCAAATTTTCGGGAGCACAAAAAAAAAAAAGTTGGGCCCCCTCCCCTAAGAAATCCTGGATCCGCGTCTGTTTCCATCGTCATTCGATGATTTCCGCCAGGCAATGTGAGAGGGCGTAGTTACTGGTCCTCTCTTAATACTTTTACTGTTGGATCGACGATAGCCTAGTGGCGTTGTGTTGTGCAATTAACAATGTCAGTAAATTGTTAGTAGTTATTTTCTGTATTGTTATTCGGCTTGTTATTTTAAAGAATTCATTAGGAAGGAAAGGATGAAGTGGTTGAATATTAGTTGCGATCAGTTCATTACGTTAGGACCTCTCTCCGTATAATGAAGCAATTTGTACAATTTATACAATGAAGCAATTTATACCGAGGATAGTACCACTGTCACTAATACTAATAGATAATATAATCTAGTTAATATAGTTAATATAGCAAAACGTAACTAATACTCGATTAATACTTAATTAATACGCAATTAATGTTTATAGCTGAGCATCACAGTTCATTGTACCTTCCACTGCCTTTTAAAAAAGCTACCACCTTTCCTATATATTCCTCATTTCCTAGTAATTGACCTAGATTTGGATTTTGAGTTTTTAGTGCTCCTTCGTTGTCTTTCATATTTTGGACATGATAATAAAAAGTGCTCAGTTGTTTCTATCGTTTGGCATTCTACACATAATCCAGTGTCGTGTTTTCTAATAAAATATTTATAGTAATTCAGGTTACATTTACCAAGCCTGAATTGGTGGATTAATCTTTCGTCCTTTCTGTTCAAACCTTTGATTTTAAAAACATTATTTACATTTTTATTGATGCTATACAAGTGTCTTCCATTCTCTGCTTTATCCCAGAGGCTTTGTCACATGGATTTATAAAAAATATCTGATTCACTTACGAACTCACTTTTGTTTTGGTTTACTATTATATCAGTGTTTTGTTTTTTTGAAGCTTGTTTTGCCAACAAATCAGCTCTTTCATTTCCTGGTAGGCCGCAGTGGGCTGGTACCCATTCAAGGTTAACATCTATCCCGAAGGAGTTTATAGCAAATAATTTTTCATAAATCTCAACAATTATGCTGGATTCTTTCATATTCTTTATGGCTTCTAAAGCTGATGCTGAATCTGTTAAAATCACTACTGCAATTGGATGATATTCATCTATCCATTCAAGTGCCATTAATATAGCTACCAGTTCTGCTCTCATGATGGATATATTGGATGTTTTAAAGCATTTACTTAGGCTTGATTTACAAATTATGAGAGTGAATTTATGTCGTCATCCAAACTCCGCCCCGCTCAGTCTGGTTCTAACCAGCATGGGTTGTGTTGTCTCTACGAACTACACGCACTCGCAGCCAAGCGCACACACACAGGCACTGAGACTCACACACACCCGACAGGGCATAACAGAAGCTCGTCTACGCCACTGATTCCCGTACTAGAAGCTTCATCGATTGAATTGGTGGTCAGTAGTGAATGAAGCGCGCTCGATCAATTATAGCCTACCTTACTGACCTCTTTTCAACGCATTCTCTCGACCGTGATAAATAATATATATTGCACTTTCCTGTTTCAGCAGCACAGTAGGTACTAGGTAGGCAACCCATACGTGATTTCCGGGGGAGGACTTTAACTGTGTAATTTGTATGTATTACGTTTAGACAGAAGATTGGTGAACTTTCAATGAAGCTTTCTCGAGGTATGGATGCTATGTCATGAAAACAGGCGCCCAGTCTTTTTTTTAACAACATCACACGGTCGGGTTACATGCAACATGGATGCCCGGAGATGTCGAGCCTACCTGGCTGAGAGATGGGGTTGGGTGGTGACCTTTGCTAGTTTCTGCGTACACTTTGTCTGCTTCGGAATATACTACTGCTTTAGCATCACATTCATAGCCCTCCAAGAAGAATTCGAAACCAGTTCTACAGCTACATGTAAGTTTGCAGGCCCGATTATATTACGTATGTATGTATTTCAGAATGGAGTATGATAAAGAGTACAACCTGATGGTGATTGTAGGCAAGCATAATGTAATGCATGCCATTAAGAAGAAGATGATTATAATAATGTTATTCGAAACCAGTTCTACAGCAACATGTTAGTTGGCAGGCCCGATTATATTACGTATGTATGTATTTCAGAATGGAGTATGATAAAGAGTACAACCTGATGATGATGGTATAGCAAGCATGTACTGCATGAGAAGAAGAAGATGATTATAATAATGTTATTCGAAACCAGTTCTACAGCAACATGTAAGTTGACTGTCCCGATTATATTACGTATATAGGTATCTCAGAATGGAGTAAAAACACTGAGTGGGGGGGGGGGGGGCGGGGTCTCAACCCTAAAAAAAATAGCAAAAACTATTTTTGAGGAAAAGCATTATACTGAATTTAATAAAGAATAATAGCTTTATATTGGATCATACTAATACTGATACGGGCTAAAGACAATGTGGTATTTGTATAGAGGTATTCCAAAATGACATTCTGATAATATTTTGTTCTGGTATCATATACGCATACTAAAACTGATCTTTACGATTTCTTAACGTGAAATAGCTTCTTCTCCTCCTGCAAAAAAAAAAGAAAAAAAGGTTATTTAATAAAAGGATCATGCGACAAATAATCATTGTGATTCAAATTGATGCAAGGATTTTTTTGAATAAGCAACGCTTTTCACCAGAATCTTCTTTGTAAAAACGACTTTTTTACAAATCTCAGCCATGCAAATCTGCCACTGTGTTGTAAGATCACTTTCAGATTAGGAGAAGTGTATTCTTTAATGAGTGTTTTACATTGAATGGAACGTCTCAACTCAGTAAGCATGACTGAGATTTGTAAAAGTTGTTTTTACAAAGAAGATTCGGGTGAATAGCAGTGCTTATTCAAACAAATATTCGCATCAATTTGAATCACAATCATTATTTGTCGCTTAATCCCTTTTAATGACCTTGTTTTCTTTCTCGTTTGCAAGGGGAGAAGAAGATATGTCACGTTAAAGACATCTTAAAGATCAGTGTTGTATGCGTATATATTATATACACAGGCCAGTAACAGCTATGTAGCTTGTAAATTTGTAAGAGGGAAAATGCTGATTGAAATGATAATGATGAAATAGCAAATAATTGAGGAGTATCATAGGTACCAATTCAATGGATATTGTATAAAAAAAGCCCCCGTCAGTACTAAAAGAGCCCCCGTGAGAAGGCTCACGGGGGCTCTTTTTTTGGGGGAAGAGCCCCCGTGGACAAAAATTAAGACCATCCCCCTGACAGTTCTTATACATTGAAAACTTTACTATAGTAACCTGTCTCTAGAGACCACCTGCCCATAAAGACCATTTTCTTGTCTTCCTTGTGCGGTATCGATATAATTATACAGGTCTCCCATTGATATCACGTACGAAATCGAGGGACCATGCTGAATAAGTGGAGTGACAGTGTATAAGAAGATTATGTAGTGCCTTAATTCCATGAGTTATTTTACAACTCTTATTTCATCAGATATGGTGCTTTGTGCGTTATTTCATCAGATGATTGAATGTATTTTTTTGATAGACTATTGGCCACACTTAGTATATATTCTTTTAAATTCATTCATTAGTTTTTCATACTCCAGTGAATAAAAACACACCAAAAAACATGCAAAATACAAATGGTCATGTACATTTTAACAGAAATATATAGTCTTATAGTATACACAGAGACACAAAATATACCAAAACAAATATTAATTGACAAAAGGGTAAATACTTTGGTAAACTAGTTTGGGGATAAACTAAATCAAGGTCACGTGTTCAGGTAAATAGCCAGAGTAATCACTATATCGCATTGTAAATTAAGGGCCATACTTTACTATATTCGGGAGTAGTTAAAATTCGAACGGGGCAGGTAAACGGCACGCCTTGTTTTGTGCTGATTTTTCTCCCTGTGGGATTGAGTGTGTTTTGGGGGTATACAAATGCCAAATACATGAATATACATTTTGCACGTAGACTTTTAATTTTAAGAACTACATTGTACATTGTAATCGAGTCGTGTTAACATATGGTTAACGAAAGGTAGTGTATTCGAAGAGATTTGTGCTGGTAGTTGATATGTCTAATTTCTCTCTGCATCAAGTATATCGACATGCATGAGCGTACAAACCTTCGCACTAATGCAGACCCATTTCGATCGATTTTTGATGTGGCTCGTAGTAAGGCAGGGGATCGCACCTTCACTGTTACAGCAGCTAAGAAGTGGAATAAAGTTCCCGACTTCCCTCCAGTATAAAAGCTGCTCCATCAGTGGACGAATAAAAGAGAAGTCCTTAAAACTTTCCTATTTCCTACTTGATTCACTAATATTTTGCTTGTTAAATGTTATGTTATGATTCGTTGTTATATAGCATATTATTGTAAGCGCTGTGATATAGTTTTACTATTAATAGCGTAGCTAAATTCAATTCAATTCAAATTAGGTTTTATTCAAGACTCGTCAAAAAGATCAAAGACTAAAAATGCAAGTTTACATCAATAATATACAATCATATACAAAGCATTCAAAAACATATGTATATATATATTATAAAGAAAAACATAACAAATGGGAAAAAATATATCAAAATAAATAAATAAATACATCAAAACATCAAAGCAGTGAATAAAAAAACAAAACAAAAAAATACAATGCCTCATTATGATAAATAATAATAGGTGCCATATCTGTTGACTGGAGATCATGCTATTCCGTAACTCTCCGTCTCTATATAGCCTTCACCAGGAGCTCTATTCACTGACCTTTCACTCTCTCTCCTCAGGCCATCTATGAGGACTATCCAACCAAAGCACTCTCCTCCTCCTTTTTCTTCTATTTCTCTTTCCGTTGATCTTTCTTGCAACGCCAGATTCTCCAAACCCCCTTTCGTAGAATAATACATTTTTTTGTTAATTACTCAGGGAAGCCTCATCAGCGCCAGTGCTGCTCTTCCCGAGTGGAGAGTGGCAAATATGGACTATTAGGGACTTTAGATTCGCACGAAGACAATGTGGATTGCTACGTTCAACGTTCTTGTAATGCACTGCCTTGAATGGACGTCACACGTATCAGTCCACGCAAATCTAAAAGTCCCTAATGTCGTGCAAAAGACGTACGTCAGCGTTTGGCTGGGATTCGAACCCTTAACCCGTTGATTAAGAGTCAAGTGAATGAACCACTATCCCACGTCACCCCTACAATCAAGTGCATGGGGCATAAATCGAATGTCGAATTCTTATCTCACTGATGATTTCATTTACTGTCTGCTCTTCTCAAAACTTTGTACTCCAATAATATTGTAAACACTATGTACATTTCGTTACCATTTCAAGTGGCGTTTTTTTTTGCGGAATGCATTTTTCTATTTTTTCTAAAAATGTCATTTCGGCCTTGAACTGAAGATAATTTAGTTGAGAGTTTTTATATTTGCTTTAAAAAATTGAACCATTTACCATACATGATAATAGTATTAGTAAAAATTGATTTAAAAAATACTATACAAAGTGATATTGTAAACGTGAAAACATTGCTGACCGTTGTGCGTCAATGCCCAAGCCAAGGGACCATTAAGGGGCGTAATTTGTGTAAATTTACCCAGATTACTGTGTACAATTATTAATGTCTGTCATTTACGGTAAAAGGTAACTAAACAATATAAGTTTCTATATATTCGAACAATATAACTCTTCGGATGAGACGAAGGTGATTAGACCAGGGGATACATTCCAACTCCCTGGTGAGACATTAGGGAAAGGAAATGACCCAGCATAAGGAAATTGGACAAGATCAGTTAAGACGGGAAGTCAATTTTATTGTATAACATAAACTATGTTTAAAGGTAAAGACCAGTTATGGTCATGCGATTGCATTGTGAAAGAAACGTTGTGGAATCGATCAGAAAAGGTTGATCATCTAGCATCTAGCATCTGTAAGGTTCTGGAATCATCAAAATGATAAGAAATTTGGCCCATTCTTCGTAAAGTTACAAGCACTATACACAGAAAGATGTATATGGGACTACCCTATATCTCTCACAGACCATGAGAGAAACAAATTTACCAAATATATGAATTAGTAGGCGGTTTCCCGGCAAATTTTGTATCATCATGTATTAGTCAAAACATATTCTTTCACATGATTGGTAATGAGAGCTTCCATTTCATTTTTTGAAATTGGGGCGTTTCCAATACTGGTCTTTACCTTTAACCGCTTGACCTTATTTTTGCCAAGCTCCCATAAAGATTATCCTTTTGCTTGACAATTAAGTGATTCATGCAAAGCTGCAGGGAAATTTAATGCCCTTTCAGGAAGCAATGTAGGGAAATAAAAAGATGATGCCTCAATTTAATGAAAAGATAAAAGCGATGAAGTACAATTAGCACTTGTGCAGTTGGCACGTATTATCCAAACATAAGACAGAACAGAAAAAAAAAGAAAGTAGCTTTTGAAAGGCACGATGACCTTTTATTCGTACATCGTTTCCATTTATACTAATTGATTATACTAGCATTTACATTAATTAAACTAGCATAAGCATCTTCATCATTTTGGACACTTCATTGTTCAGAGAACATCAGAGATAAAATTTTCCTTGAAAAGCATGGCTCTTCATTATTCTAAATAATTATGACATTGTTACAGCTTAAAAATGTAGGCCTAATTTTTATGCAACATGTTTGTGTAGTCCCATTCACATCTTTCTGTGTATACAGCGCTTGTTACTTTTACCAAGACTGGGTTATATTTCTTATCATTTTGATGATTCCAGAACCTTGCAGTACTTATATGCTAGATGATCAACCTTTTCTGATCGATTCCACACCGTTTCTTTCACAATGCAATCGCATGACCAGAACTCAACTTTATCTTTAATATGTGAATCTATAGCAACTTTATAAAGGATACAGACAATCTCCTGTGTGTTAAAGATCCAGATACTTCTGTAAATATTAACTTCTATAATCTATAGAATCACATTTCATTAAGTAAGCACGTTATCAGCAAATTGTTTGTTAGCATAGAAGGATCATTCATCTCTCTCTCTCTCTCTCTCTCTCTCTCTCTATCTCTCTCTCTCTTGTCTCGTTTTCTTTATACAGCATGGGTCGGGTCCATTCCCATTGGCCTTTCGACCATGGCAGGAGTCTTCGTCACTCCGCTCATCTACCGCTTCAGCAACCGGTCCATCGCTCTTGTCGGGATCGTACTCTGCTTCACCTCGTGCATGGTGACGTCATTGATCACGGTCTTCCCCGCCATCTACCTGACGTACAGCGTGCTCTATGGTGTCGGGAGTGCGTGCGCGTCTCTGGCATCCACGGATCTCCTACTCCGGTACTTTCCAGTCACGAACTGCGCACGCGCCACCATGTTCGCTTTGATAGGCAGTAGCGCAGGTGAATAAAGGGCGATATTACCTTTACGAGGAAAGTTACGTTCAGATATGAAGCGGTAAATCGCAGCGTTTTTTCATTTTAAAAATCACATTTATGATGACATAAGTGCAATAAAGTTCACATTTGTGTATCTTATAACGCAGAGCTAAGTGACTTTACGCGAAGGACATTACGTTTCGGGTCATTCATTTAAACTTAATACAAATGATAATTGATTAAACAAAACAAAAACAACAACAAAAAATCCGGTTTCTCGCGTCATATCTGAAGGACCCTCAAGTTGTTATAAAGGAAGGCAGAAAGGTGCACTCAATAAATTTTGAAATAGTCAAATTAATTTATAGATATGATAGTATGAAAGAAGATTGAAAATGAATTACATACATGAATACTTGTTGATAGTAGATTTAACTTCAAAGTTAGGTGTTTGTCTTTCTTGCTTTTATCGAGAGCATGGATGTCCATACAATATTTGTAATGGTTGATGATGAAACAACGTTTTTCAAAGGGAGAAAAAGAATGCATCCAAAGCTCCCCCAAAACACCAATTCAAAACTGTCAATCAGGTAGAAGATAACAGTCCTAGGAGTTTACCAACATTGATGTCCACAGAAAGTCTGAAAACTTGCCGATAATCTTTACGGACCTGCTTGCAAAGTTACGAGTGGGGGCACGAATCGCTTATTACAGCCCAATTGGCATGATTGTTATTTTCGCCTTTTGTTGGGGTCGATTGTTGTGTTATTTTTGGTAGTATACTTGAATTATTATCATCATTATTATTACCATTATTATCCTCGTTATAACGACTAGTTATTCACTCATTTGATTATATATTTTTGTCCAGGTATGCTGTGTTTGGGTCCTTTAACCTATACCCTTATCGAGCGCTGGGGATGGCGAATTATGTTGCGTGTCGTTGGAAGTATACTCCTTGTCGTCGGAGTCGCGGCCATTTTCGCTTTCCACCCTCCCCCTCCTCCTCCAACTGGCTCGGGACCGGATGAGGACGACACGAAGGAAGGTAAGCGCGGCGACCAGGATGTTTCGCCGCCAGACGGCACTCGGGAAGGATCGGAAATACCCGATGATCGCACGAACGCACGAGTACAACCGAAGTATGCCAAACTCTATAACGAAGTGAAGACGGATCAAAATAAAAAAGCCGAGGACGGTAGCGCCAGCAAACACGCTGAATGTGAAAAGACAAGCGAAGAAATGAAACCCTTTCTGCAGGAGCAGATCGCAGAGGGCGTAATAGGGAAGGAGGTTTGCGCTTCATTAGACAGATGCGACAGTGACATAGCAGTTGCCTTGACAGCTTCGGAAAGCCCTTTACCAGATGGAGCGGTCGGTGAGACTGGAGAGGAAGACGAAGTGCCTGTCACATTCTGGACAAAGCACAGATCAGTTTTCTACCCGGATGTCTGGGTCCTCGGCTTGTGCATCATGGGACTAGGGGTCATGAACTCATTTTTCTATATCAACATGGTAAGATCATTCACCTCTGAGGTATGTGACACCTCGTGTCCGCCTAACTTTATACTCCAAATCTGCCTCTTATCTACAGAATTCGTGGCCATTGGTAATAAAGATTGTTTTCCCGATCTATTGTCAGTTCGGGGGTGTTCCATCAATCCTTCAAATATTACGACCGATCCACTTGATTTTTTGACTCCTTTAAAACGACTTGGGATCTATTATTTTGATGAAACAACCTACGAGGATCAATTTTAAGCTAAATTTGAGTTTAATTCTGTAAAGCATTGTAAAGATCGAAATCGATTTTAGTAAATAAACCCTCACCTTGATGTGGCCTCTTTGGTGTGTGTGTGGCGGGGGTATAATAATCTCTATGTATTCTTCTTCTTCACATTCTCACTCTCTCTCTCTCTTTCTCATTCTCCCTGGCTCTCTTGTTTTCATTCTCTTTCTTTTCTCCCTCGCTCTGTCTGCAACACCCCTCCTCATTTTCATTATCCTTTTCTCTCTCTTTTCTCATTATTTATCCCTTTCTCCTTCTCTCTCTCTTCTGCTCTTCCTATCTTCGTAGGTCACATCATTTCTACTGCTACCAATGTCAATCTTTATTCAATATCTTTAATATTATCATCTCTCAATCTTTATCTCTTTCTCTCTCTCTCTTATATGTCGCTGTTTTGGGGTTTTACATCTCTTTCATAATTTCTTGTTCTTTGTCTCTCCATTCTTTCCTTCACATTTACCGGTTCATTCTCATAAAAAATACTTTGATACAATCATGATACAAATGATTACTTCCAAACCGTCATTGCGATTTAATTTGTTGTCATTCTACCAAAATAAATAATCTATTTCTTTTTAAATACCATTTTCCAGGGTAGTTTTCTCCTCTCAAAGGGATTCGAAAAACACGTGTTGCCTTGGGTCGTCACAACGCTCGGCGTCTCAGAAATGGCGGGAAAATTACTGCTGGGTGCGACAGCCGATCGTCTGCCATTCCCGAAGATTTTTCTCTTTATTTTTTGTAGCGTCACAGGGATCGGCTGTATGATCTGCCTACTCTACGTGCGCTCCGTCATATTGTTACTGTTACTATCGGTTGGTAAGTAAAGATTTTATAAGGTTCATGTTTTAAAGGCAAAGTATTTTACCAACTTCGCTACCACTGCTGGAATGCATTTTCGATTGCGCCATATTTTGGTGAAGGCGTATTAGAGCGATTTGACCAGGATCATGACCACTGTGCTCTAACAGTGCGTATAGTAGAGTTGCGAGTTCAGTGACCATGACGCGCGCTAATCAGTTGGTGATGCATGGTGGGACATGGCTGTCGACACATTGCGACATTGTGAGCAGCAGATGGCAGTATATGTACATTTGAAGCAGTGTAGTTTACATGTACCAGTCTCACCTCCCTGGTATACCAAAGCAAAGAAGTTGATATCAGTGTAGTTGAAATGTTTTATAAACACAAACAAATTACACATTCATAGAAGAGAAACAAATTTTGACACAAGCGGCTAATTTGATGTAAAACAGAAATGTAGATTATGTCTGATAATGTATATAAATGAAAAAAGGTAGGCAATGTAATGAATATAGTTCAGTTAATGGTGGTTTAGTACTATTATTATAATTATAATTATTGTAAACATCATTATCATCACCATCGTTATCATTATTATCATCGTCACTATCATCATCGTCACTATCATCATCATCACTATCATCATCATCATTGTTTTTATAACAACAAACTGTTGTTCCCCTCCTTTCCTCTCTAGTCATCGGTTTGGTTGTCATGACGATTGCGGATGTTCTCTCCTACTCCATCTGTAACCAAGTCTTCCGTAAAGAGGATGCCGTCCAGACCTGGACCGTTGTCATGATGCTGCAAGGAGTAGGCTTCATGGTGGGAGCCGTCTTTGGTAAGATGAACCATGTAAAACGTCATTTTGAAGCCATTGTTTAACAATGTTAAATCTGAGATGCACGGCCCTAAGTGTTATTAGTGTCTGTGATATGGTGTAATATTGAAGCCCTTAAAAGATCGCGCTTCAAAATGATCAAGAAGTGCCTCAAAAAAGTAAACAAATTTGAGTGACCGGTTTTACCATACTCGTTTCCCCCAATAGACTGTAGTGTTATGAAAACCGTTAGGCAAACGCAAAATTTGGTTTCGATTTCCAATCATTAATATCTTGATAATCAGACAGGCGATCGGCTTGTAAAAGTCATGGGGTTCCTGACTGACCTAAAAGTTTATAATTATCATTGCAGCATGAGCTAAATACATGATTTTGTTTCAGAATCTGAGACATAATTACCGGATCCCTTTAGGTATAGGTTCTCATTGAGAATTTGACACCGTTCAGGTACTCAACTGATAATAGATATTTTCAATTATCTGGAGTGACCTTCACACTTACGGTCGACATGTCATGTATAGTGCTCTGCGCTTTCCATCAGTCGCTTCATAAGGGTAGCCCTTGCCCGAAGATACACCAAGGTACTATGGCGGTATTTCTTGGTTGGAAATCCAATTTGCATTGCCCATAGAGTTTTAATAAATTGCCATACCCTTTTTCATGAAATACACGTAATTGTGACAATATGATTTATTCTTCATGGATAATGTTTATCTCTGTTCAAATATTTATCGATAAATTCCTATGACGCTTTATATTGGTCAGAGTTGGGAGGATGTAAACTTTATCTACCAATAAGAGGTAAGAAAATGTTATGAATTTTAAAATGAGCAACAGTGTATTTCACCCAAGTCAGGCGCCAGCTAATTATGACATACTGTATTTGGGAACTGACGACCATATCCCTTTAAATAAAATTCTTTGGGAGTAATGCCATTGGTGAAGGCTTTCAACTCTAGGGCACGGCCCTGCGTAGAGTGGGACGAAATGTGGGCCCCGAGCAAGCGTCGAACCCGGGATCTCTCGCCTAAACCGAAAGACCTCAGCGGGACTAGATGCTTTCAAATTCTCTTACTGTTTCTATCTCTAGGTCTAACCTGTTTTGATAAATTCAATCGAGGATGCTTTTGATAGTTTCCCATTTTTACCAATCGATGGATGCAAGGTCATTTTGAAAGCTATTTTCGTTTAAAGGGCTCCTCCATTGAAAAGGGCTTTTAATTGAAAAATAAAAGACATGTAGAAGAGTTTTTGACGGAGATTCGAGATTCCAATTATGACAATGATTTCTCTTAAAAATCGTCAATAATTCTGGAATCTAGCTTTAAAAATGACGACTCAGACTGCTCAGAAAAAAGCCCAGTTTCGGAGCTGTATTAATACGCAATTTGATATGACGTCACTGTAGGAGTAAACATTGCAGGTACGCGCCGCCCAGCGCATCGAAAGTATACAGATAACATTTGTGTCTAGAGAATTCTTTTCTCGGTTATGAAATAATTTCATCGTGAAAGAAAAGAAGAAATGACTGAAGAAGACAATGAGAGTGACGAAGAGGCTGCAAGTGATTTCAATGATCAATCGGAGAGTGAAGGACTTCAGGAGGAACTTGAAGAAGTAACTTTCCCTGCTCTTGTCATAAATAAGAAAATTGACCACTTTAACATCAAACCTTATCAGTTCGAGCCAGAGCATTGTCGGTCTTGGGGCTATCGGTCTATGTACCCTCGATCAAATGGGATGCACTGATTTCTTTTCTTCTTCTGCTCCTCTTTTTACTTTCTGTCCCCCGGCTCTTCTTACACTGCACTTCTCTTTCTTTACTCTTTTCACACCAGATGGGTCTTCGATTAACCTCCTCTCTGTTTTACCTTTCCTATCACTCAGCATAATTATTTCTTCCTTTCCTCATTTACGTTTCGATTTCCTTCTCCATTCTTCTTACACATTTTCTCCTTCTCTTACTTATTGTTCGTCTCATCTTCCTGATACTGATTTTCACCTCTTCTTTAGGTCAATCTTTCTATGTTATAACGTTTAATTGTATTTTGTTTTAATTACGTGTGTTAATAATGTCATGTATGTTGTTATCAGATTTGCAACGTTTATGAAATGTATTTCAAATGTTCAACATGGGCCCCAATAAAAATCAGTTTCGTCACTGCTCATGCTTCTTTTAACGTGTATCGAAAATATCAATGATATAAATAAACCTTGGCATTTTTTTCTTCTTTCTTTTCAGGTGAAAGTATTGACAAAACCGGATCGTATAACGAAGCCATTTACACAAGCATGGGAATGTATGCGGTATGCGCTGTGCTCTGTATAGCCGTTCCTCTTTACCAAAAACTTTTTGCTCGTCATCGCTTCGTCATGTTCGACCACCAGGCCAAGTGTCGACGTTTAAAGACGGCGACGACGACGGTTGCGGAGGTGAAGACAAGTCCTACGGCATGACCGTCCAACTAATTTTCAAAGGTTATCTTCAGTGCTGGTACTAATGGAAAACAAAATTTTGAATATTCAAACCAAATTCTACCTGATTTGTAAGACTACGGGTAAACGATGTGAAAGTGTCGTGGTACAGTGGTTCATTCACTTGACTTTCACTCATAAGGTTTGTGGTTTGAATCTCAGGTCAGCACTAATGTCCTTCTGCAAGACATGAGTCCACATTTGCCACTCTCCAACTAGGTGTAAACGGGTAAATTCCCGATTTGCCAGAGCGTTACTGTCTTATTTGACCACCGGCTATGACCGGCCGAAAATTAATTGGTGATTAATTTGGGTGCCAAGAGCGTCACGGCGTGACGAACATGTGCGCAATCCATTAATAATCCAATGATAAACGATATTGGTAGAAAGGGTACCAAAGTGGAGATATAAGAAAATATATGAGTAGAAAAAAGGCTATCACGAAATTCTGTCTTATTCTTCCAGAGCACTAACGACAAAGTGGTTACATGCAGTGTAAGTGATCCTAAAAAAAAAAATTAAAAAAAAAAAAAATTGTTTAATAGTAATAGTAATCATGTTTATCATGACGACGATGATCGTGGTAATGATGCTGACGGTAATAATTGCTAGTGATGTTAATAGTGGTCATGATAATGATGCTAGTGATAATGGTGGTGATGCTAGTGATGATGATGATAATAATGATGATGATGATGATAATAATGATGAACATGGTACATGTAATGATGGTCACAATAATCATGTTTATCATGACGATGATGATGATGGTAATGATGCTGACGGTAATAATGCTAGTGATGTTAATGGTGGTAATGATAATGATGCTAGTGATAATGGTGGTGATGCTAGTGATGATGATGATAATAATGATGATGATGATGATAATAATGATGAACATGGTACATGTAATGATGGTCACAATAATCATGTTTATCATGACGATGATGATGATGGTAATGATGCTGACGGTAATAATGCTAGTGATGTTAATAGTGGTAATGATAATGATGCTAGTGATAACGGTGGTGATGCTAGTGATGATGATAATAATGATGAACATGGTACATGTAATGATGGTCACAATAATCATGTTTATCATGACGATGATGATCATGGTAATGATGCTGACGGTAATAATGCTAGTGATGATAACCATGGTAATGATAACGGTGATCGTGATTTTGGTGTGGAGGAGGAGGATGATAATGACGACGATGACGGTGATTACAACCAAACGAGCTTCTTTCGAAACGTATATCAATTCTGAGAATTTAAGTTTAACTTTAAATTATCGTATTAAACAATCACAAAGACTTTCGAGAAATCAAATCAAGGGGGCATTTAATACCCAATTTATTGTACATCCCATATAACTTGTGTTTAAGTGGCATGTTTCTTTGTAATGTTTTCAAATGTCATGTGATGGACGAGGCTACTGATATTGCATTGGGTTGATTTTTCGAAAGCCTTTGCGACTGTGTTCATGGTTATAATGTATGCTACGCTTAAAAAGAAGCGATGGTGTTATGTAAAACATGGCACATTTACTTGTTTGACTTTGTATTTGCACATTTAATGTACTACTCACATGCCGGAATTTCGGCACAATGTTACAACATATTTTTGTTTACATACATAATAACAAATACACAATGTAACATTAATTCGTAATTATAGAAATATTTGTAATTGTACACATCATTCAACTTGTAACGTTTACTCGTAATTTCACTAATATATCTTGTTAAAGACGCGTTTGAAATGAAATTCAATAGTGCAATTTTATCTGTCTTTGTAAAATTCAACTGGAGTATTGGCAGTTGCCAACGTTTAACATGTTTTCATAAACGGTACTTTTTGTCATTACATGTAAATCAATATTATCTATTGTTTAGTGATACGATTGTTAAAAGTAATACAGGCATCAACATAAATTTACTCGAATTACATACTGCATTTAACATGTAGTGTGATGTTAAGCACAAAGTGTTTAATATGAAGTTGGTTGTAAAACAAGATTTCAATGTACATGTGGCTTTTTTGTCAGTTGCACCTCTTGTATCCAGTACCGAAATGACAAATATTTGAAGAAATTAGGTCAAGGTTCATGTCAAGGTGTCGTGGTCTAGAGGATAAGTGACCGGACTGTAAAATAACAAGGTTCGCGGTTCGAAATTGAATGCATGCGTGAGCTCCTTATCATGGTAGCTGGGCTGAATATAATATGATTGCAGGGCCCTCAGGGAGGCGTGTTTTGAAAATAACGAGGCTATATCGTGGGTAAAAATGACCTTATGTATTGTCGTTATTATACATGTAGTTGAAAATGATACGTGAACCGAGTGACCTCTGTTTTTTACATCGAATGAGTTTAATGAAATGGAATTCAGGGTAAAATAACATAATTTTCTTGTACACATACAAAGACAGGTATTTTTTAAATATATCCTTGATACATACATGTATATATTTGACAGAAAATATAGTTTTTTAGGTCACACTGAAATCAATATATGAGTGATTTATGTGTTTATGTATCTTACTGTACTAATAAATTCACTTAAGATGAAAAGCTTGTTAGTTATGAATATTTATACAACACTCGCAACTCTTTTATTATCGAAAAATCATCTCAAGGCCAGTTTCAATACCCTATATTTTGTGTCTTATACAAATCATTTTCGGATTCCGTTGTATGTGACGCACAAGGCTTTGAAAATGGCGTTTGGTTGATTTTTCGAAAGTATCTGCTATCGTGTTAGTTAATCGTAAGGGAGAAAGTGAGAACGAGAGGCATCTGAGGGGGGGGGGGGGCGCTACATTGAGAGAGAGGTAGAGAAAGAGAGATGATTTAGGAAATACATGGAAAATGTATGTAATGGAGGTTAACTTTCTTACATGAGATGATTCTAAAAAAAGTTTCACAGGAACACACCGAATGATACTGGAGCGAAAGTGTCGTACGTATAATGGAACACAATGACAAACATAGTTATAACCAAGGGGGGGGGGGGGGCGACTGACGTTCCTGTTTATCATTTTAAAAAGGGTTATCCAAGGCACTGACTCTGTGATTTCGTGTGTCAACCCCGTTTGTGCCACCCCTTCCTCCGTTTAACAAGTCTGGTAAGCCGGTAGTGACAAAAACAAGTAGCAAGAGGTTAAAGGGGCATTTGGTCCCCTGTTCCACTAACAAAAAAACAAAAAATCATTCATGAAACTTATCCCAAGACCTAAGTAACTCTATATCTCACATAGCAAACGCGTGTGTGTGGGTGGGTGTGTGTTGGTGAGAGTCCGTGTGCGGAAGTAAAAAAAGGTGTGTTAGTATAGCTGAGCTATTGCATTTGACTTTGGATTATTCTGTATGTCCTCCAAGGGCGTCGCCAAAGGGGGGGGGGGGGTGCGACACCCCCCTCCCCACCTGTCAGGATATTGTCGGTAAAATTGCGCTGCCGTCGGGAAAAAAAGAGAAAAGGGGGAGGGAAAAAGAGAGGGAAAGGTAAAGAAAAGAAAAAAGAAAAGGAAAAGAGAAGAAAGAAAGGAAAGAAAGGAAAAAAAGAAAAAAGAAAGGAAAGAAAAGAGAAGAAAGAGAACAAAAAAAGAAAAAGAGGGAGGAGAGGAAAGAAAGGAAGAGAAAGAAAAGGGGAAAGAAAAAAAGAGTAAAAGGGAAACAAAAGAAACGGGGGTGAAAGAGAGGAGAGAGAGGAGAGGAGAGGTAGGAGCCTGAGAGAGGAGGAGTGAGTGTAAAAGAGAGAAGGGGGTTGTTGGTTGGTGTCGTCTCGTCGAGGGAGCAAGAAAGACACGGGTAAATATGTTGCTATGTCGGGTAAGCTGTGTCGGTATTCTTGCTCGATCCTCGTGTACTAAATCAAAGCAGAAGTTTGAAGTCGATGAGATGTACAAGGATTAACAGTCGAGAAAGGTACAATAAATCGTCTTCTTTTCCTAATGATTTAGAGGCCTATCACCCACACCCCCTAATGAGCGCTCTTTAAGTGATTCGCTTGCTCACTACCGCCCTCCCTAAAATAAGATCCTAGCTCCGCGCCTGCATTCAAATATATTAGCTATGATGCTGACGAAGTTGACGAAATAATTCGTATATTTATGTCGTCGAGAAAAATGACCATTTGCGCATATGCAAGTACTATAGATAGTCCATAGGAAAAACAATTTAGCCTTCGGCCCCGGGTTTATAGGGTTAAATTTGTAGATATTGGACATTTAATTTTGTCGGTAATTAGTCGCTAGTTTTGTCGGTTATCGTTGGCCTCTACCCCCCCCCCCCCCCCCCCCCCCCCACTGAAAAAGGTCTAGCGACGCCCCTGATGTCACCCCTCCCGTCTGGGCCTCTCGCCCCTTTCTGGCTATGCTTGTAACGCCGAATGATTCTACAGTGACGGTGTCTTACAGATGAAGTAATGAATAAGAGAATGACTTGGCTGCACGCACTGACCATCTTGCCATTCATTGCCGTAACGAGACCTCATCACCCCACAGTTCTCGTTGCCAACGGTGTTCGGGTGGTTGTCGGGCTGTCCTGGCTTCCAGTGGGTGAAATCGACCGTGGTGCCGTCCGTCCATTCGAAGGTGCCGTCAGTAGAGGTGTCGTGTAGACCAAACCAATGTCCTGCGTATTCATCCTGAAACGAGCACAAATAAGTATATACAAAATTATATACGATGTATCTACAAATAGATAACTATGTAAATAGATATTAATATAATTATAAAGAATTGAATATAAATAAATAAATCAAACACATAAATAATTATACAGATAAATAAATATATATAGATGAACAAATAATAAAAAACATAAATACATAAATATATGACTATATAAGTTCAAAAACAAACAGGGAGATCTGTAAAATCACAGGTAAATAATTGTTTCCTGTATTGGTGTTGTTCAACATTATGAGGATAAAATATACATTTACGTGGTATGTATTTAAAATTTGTTAATAAGAGGCAGACGCTTCAATTTTTATTTGTATGACAAAATTTGGAGAATCACATTGTAACGAAGTAAGTCAAACGTTTCTTTGTTATTTTGACGTTATGCAATAAAGTAGCCTGTGGAGGGTTAAATATTATTAAAGCATGACTGGGGTACTATAATTACAATAAAATAAAAAAATTACAATAAAAAGTGACTGGGTTTTGTATATTATTTTAGAAATCTATCAGGAGAGGCCAATTGCCCCCTCTTTCCAGGAATAATTTCTAAGTTATACCAAAGAGCAGACGCGTACGCAGGGGGGGGGGGGGGGGGTTTAAATCCCCCTTGAGTTTTTTATGTGTATGTTTTGTGAATGGTTTTTGGGGAACCCCCCCCCCTTTTATTTAATTAAAAAAAAAAAAAAAATTATGCCAATAGCTGACCTAAAAAAGGTGACCTTACCCCCCCCCCCAACGGAACAAGATGTCAATTTTTCAAATTTCGAGACCCCCCCCCCCCCCCCCCCCCCACCCAGTCATTGCGCTTATTGAGCGGCTGGCTGAGTCGTTGCGAAATTTTTGGCCGATTTTAACCCCCCCCCCCCCCCCACCCTTGAAAAAATCCTGCGTACGCCACTGCCAAAGAGATACCTCCTTGGTTATACAGTTCGTTGCTTACCCCTTTCTTCCGTGAGGATTCGTAGAGAGCAGTCACGAAATCGTGTTCGGGTTGAGAATGGATGGAGACGAGATGCCCAGAACGGGTGCGCGTGACTTCTCCCCATTCGCCGAGAGAGGGCACTGTGAAGTTGCGGCAAAAGTTTTCGGCCGCTAGCCAGTTCAATTCATGACTGAAGAACCTACAAAATGAACAATTATAATTACTGTATAACATTCTGTTTGGGTAATTTTTTTAACTGTGCATGATAGCTGACCCCCTGGATATTTTAAAGAAAAACAAAATAAAGAAGAAGAAAAATCACATTGTGGAAATGAAAGTTTGTAGATATGGCGATGACAATATATAGAAAGAGTTTGGAAAAGAAAATCTAAAGTGTAAGGAGAGAAGAGAGGAGAGAGAGAGAGAGAGAGAGACAGACAGAGAGAGAGAGAGAGAGTGAGAGAGTGAGAGAGAGGGAGAGAGAGGGAGAGAGAGAGAGAGAGAGAGAGATCATGAAAACACTCATGGAGAGACAATTAAATGACCCTGTGATTTTTGTTTTGTGATTCAAAAACAAAAAAACAAATAGTTTATATTGACTGTGGCTCCTAAAATACCAGATGAGGGATATGGCAGGAATATAAAAGCCGAAATTAACTTCTTTCCATACCTGTAACAATGATTTCTAAAACCAGTCCACAGCTTCGGGCAATTACCACAGCCAGCTATCCCGGTGGGGCAGGCGAGCATGGCGACGGCTAATGCGACGAAAAAGAGCTCGGTCCTACGTCGAAAATCCATCTCAATCCAAGTTATACAAATTCTGACTCTCAGTTGCTACTCCTTTTATGATTTTGGGTTTTGTACTTGTAGTGCTGGTTGCTGATTTTGCGGCTCGATGCCAAATTGATTTTATGAAGATTGATTTCCTTAGAAGTTAACAAATCTACGAATACTAGTACTATGTTCAGCACATTCGCCAACATTTTCATTGGTGGACATTTTGCGGACGACTACATTTGAAACGAAGGGATGTTTGTGTGGAAGATCCGGTGTAGTTATTGTGATAAATTGTGTGTCAACATTATGCTAAAATAATGTGGAACCTTCCTTAGAATATACCTTAATTTTACATAGGCGCCGGAAGGGGGGGGGGGGGGGCAGGGGGGGCAGCTGCCCCCCCAATCAAAAAAGTGGGGGGGCAAAACGCATTTTTGCCCCCCCAAAACGCCCCCCCCCTCCAAAAAAAAAAAAAAAAGCAGTAAAGGAGTAAAGATGGTTTGTATTTTTAACCCAAAAGAACATAACAATAATAAAACCTGAATTAAATGACGTATGAAATTCCATTCAAAGAAAAGGAAAGTTAACAGGAATTAAATTTCCTAAACATTGCGCATGCTACCTATATTTATCAATGGAGGTTTTTATAATAGCGATACGCGCATATCGTAGACATATTGCGAGAGAATGGGAAAGCGTGTCTGTTTTTTGTTATAGGGGTGAGAAGCTTATGAGCCCCTGAACGCTGGCGTACTGAGGGGGGGGGGGGGGTATTTTTTTTATTCGATACCAGTGATTTACAAATGTTGCTGAAATGACATGATTTTCCGGTATATTTTCTCTTTTTTTTTGTAAGTCATACCTTTTTATGCGTTTGTTGGAAAATTAGAAATTCCCAAATTTACAGTCGGGCGAAAAATATGCTTATTTAGAAGCATTTATGTTAGGGTCTGCAGAACGGCCGGGCTCGGGGACTCGTGCCACCCTCAATTGTTGAAAAAGTTTGTTACAGAGAAAAAGAAAGAAAGAGAGAGAGAAAAAATAAGTGACCTTCTAATGTCACAAATGAGGTATCAAAATATGCTCATCTGACCGTAATTAAATACCTAAAACCCCCGAGCTTCCGGGGACTCTGCCCCCTGGACCCTAACAAGGGCCCTAAGGCGGGGCCCTGGATGTTCATCTGACCGTAATTAAATGTCTAAGACCCCAGAGCTTACGGGGGCTACGCCCCCAGACCCCACCAAGGGCCCTAAGGCGGTCCCCTGTATGCTCATCTGACCGTTATTAAATACCTAAAACCCCTGATCTTCCGGAAGCTCTGCCCCCTGGACCCCACCAAGGGCCCTAAGGCGGGGTCCTGGATGCTCATCTGACCGTAATTAAATGTCTAAAACCCCAGAGCTTACGGGGGCTCAACCCCCAGACCCCACCAAGGGCCCTAGGACGGTCCCTTGTATGCTCATCTGACCGTAATTACATACCTAAAACCCCGAGCTTCCGGGGGCTCTGCCCCCTTGAATCCCACCAAGGGCCGTAAGGCGGGGCCCTGGATGCTCATCTGACCGTAATTAAATGCCTAAAACCCCAGAGCTTACAGGGGGCTCTGCCCCCGGACCCACCAAGGGCCCTAAGGCGGTCCGCTGTATGCTCATCTGACCGTTATCAAATACCTAACAAAACCCGAGCTTCCGGGGGCTCTGCCCCCTGGACCCCACCAAGGGCCCTAAGGCGGGGCCCTGGATGCTCATCTGACCGTAATTAAAGGTCTAAAACCCCAGAGCTTACGGGGGCTCCGCCCCCAGACCCCACCAAGGGCCCTAAGGCGGTCCCCTGTATGCTTATCTGACCGTTATTAAAGAGAAGGTTGAGTTCTGGGAAGAGGTGAAAAATAATTTGTGAGCATTACTCATTCTTATTATGCCAGTGTGGAAGAACATCAGTTAAGACATGTTCCCTGAAAAGCATGGCTCTTCAAATGCTTTCATATTCTAAATATGCATGTAACATCGTAAAAATCGGGGGCCGGCTTTTTACGCCACGTGTTCGTGTAGTCCCATATACATCTTTCTGTGCAAGTGTTTGTAACTTTACCAAGACTTGGCCAAATTTCTTATCATTTTGATGATTTCAGAACCTTGAAATACACACAAATTCTTATATGCTAGATGATCAACCTTTTCTGGTCGGTTCCACACCGTTTCTTTCACAATGCAATCGCATGACCAGAACTCAACTTCATCTTTAAATACCTAAAACCCCCGAGCTTCCGGGGGCTCTGCTCCCTGGACTCTCCGCCAATTAGTGGCCTGCCAGTGTCACAAATAAGGTATCTAAATATGCTTATCTGACCATAATTTGAATGCCTAAAACCCCTAAACTTCTGGGGGCTCAGCCCCTGGACCCCACGCCATTTTACGCTCTACCTGATTGTTAATAATCCACTTTGAAAAACGTTCCGCGGGGCCTGCCCTGCATGTAACGTGTAAGAGTGATGGTGATGCAGATTTCTCTTCTGCCCCCCCCCCCTTCCAAACGTTTTTGCTCGTTACGTCACTGCCCCTGGAAGGTGAGCCCCTGGAATGTTTGCCCCCCCAATCCCAAACTGCTTCCGGCGCGCCTGACCTTAAATACGTATTCAATCAGCGGGGAAGGGGTGTCATTGATAAGTTCATAAAAAACTAATTTTTTAGAATGCATGGTTTCGAATTCCAGAACGGTAATAAGATAGACTCTACCAAAAACAGCATGAACAAAATGTATGATAATTTAGACTATAACTTCATGTTTTTCAGCATAATTTGGCCCTACTCCAGTTACGGCATGAGCCAAAATCTTTCTCAGAATGAAGGAGTTTTCTTAACCTAAATATTCCTATTGAACTTCATTTAAAAATTAGAACATCCTTCCAGAGTTGAAGGGAAATTCATAAAACACGTGGTTTTCTATCGTACTGAAATGAAACCAAAACCGAAATACACATTAATAATAAACCAATTGATATTGAACAAAGTATAATTTTGATCATTATAAATCACTGCATAAAAGAATGATTAAGTTAATTTAAAGTTAAAGATAACGTTGAGTTCTGGTCATTCGATTGCATAGTGAAAGAAATGTTGTGGAATCGATCAGTAAAGGTTGATCATCCATAGCATATAAGTATTGATGTGTACTGCAAGGTTCTATAGAATCATCAAAATGGTAAGAAATTTGGCCCAGTCTTGGTAAAGTTACAAGCACTGTACACAGAAAGATGTATATGGGACTACACGAACATGCGGTATAAAAATCCGTCCCGATTTGTATGACCTTACATGCAAAGTTTCGGTATGGGGTCATGAATTTGGTTCAAATGAACATATTGGAAGCATTATGCAATCCTACAATATTCAGTGATAGTTGTCGCGGTTGAAATCGAGTTTAAAGTTATGAAATTATAAATAATAAACTATTTGTGTTGTATAGCACCCTCTTAAGGTCAATACATTAATTAAGCTATAAAAAAATGTTTCTTGACTGAAATCGACCGATTATATTCCCGTTTGAAAATTATATATCACAACTACATATTCTGAGATTTTCATGGTCGCAGCTACCTTTGTACGGCCGTAGGCGCTATTTGAAATTTATCGAAATTTACCGGGAGCACTGCAAATTTGTACAGTTGTATATTCAATTTTTCTCGGAAGCAGAAGTGTTTTAGGGGCTAAATTTTCTAGTGCTTATAATGCATCCAAATATATCAAAATTGTAAAGAATCACTTTCCACCCAATTTTCGAAATTTCCCAAAACTTTGTATTACCTTTAAGGCATTAATTTGAAGAGCCATGCTTTTCATGGAACATTTTTTTTCTCTCTGATGCTCTACCACACTTGCATAATACAATGATAACGCTCATTTCCACCTGTTCCTGGCCAGAACTGAACCTTCTTCAAGTTCAGTCAGGTTTAGTCCGCCCAACATCATTATCATCGTCGTCGTCGTCGTCATCATCATCGTCATCATCATTTCTTGTATACTGCTTATGTCTGTCAGACTTTACACTCCTGGCGCTTCACAAAAATATCATTACCCCAATTTTAAGCATGGCTGCGTGCAGAAGCTAGCAGGGTACAGGCACTATAATACCCCCCCCCCCGATGAGCTTTTGCTGGTAGTTGGGGTGGGGATGAAAGTTATGCTGGAAATTTCGAAAGGATGTAACTCTACATTATGCCTCGAATAGTTCTAAACGTAAACATTTCCTGAGGTGGTTTCAGTATTCCGAGAATGAAGTTATTAATCCTTTTAGCAAACGAAAAGGGGAATTAGCTTTGATTTGGTTATGGTTATGATGCCATGATACAGGGAACAACTTCAACGATGCTAAATATTAAATCCCCGCACAACAAGAGACAATACTGTTAAAAATTGTATTATTATCATTTTAATTTCTTTTACTCTTTGTCCTTATACGTTAACGTTACAAAACGCATGTGTAATGTAAAGAACAACTTAGTAAAACGCTGACATTTAAAGTCCAAATATATCCGTTAAAAAATTAGTCTTAGTAGTCAGTATAATATATATTAGAGAGAATCTTTGATACAGTAATTATTAGCAACGTATTGCTCAAGAACGGTTACAAAAGTATGCCCACAGTCAAACCTGCCTATTTTACGACACTTGATCAGACAAAGGCAATAGGCCATTATCGTAATGTAACCAAATGTAATGCATAAGTGTTTGTGAAGTGCCTCAATACAAATTATTTTGTTCACCTGTTAGGAATAATAGTATTTCAATAGTCAGAATGCAACTGCATATATTAAGTGTTGCTATAGGTAGGTCAAGCCATGATGATGTTTGTCCAACCTGGCAACAACTTATGTACACAGTTCGGATTCTGTCTATTGAAATAATATTATTCTTATCAGGTGAATGAAATAATTTGTATTGAGGCACTTCACAGAGACTTGTGCATTAAATTTGGTTACATTACGAAAATGGCCTATTGCTTCGCGTTTAATAATTTCCTACGCTAGCCGAATTTTGCACTTCATCCTTGGACCCACTATACCTAACCCTATAACCATACCTTTACACCACGGATGTGCCTGCTTAAAGGTACTTTGTCCCATTTCGCAGCCAACATCAAATTCTGTAGAACTTTGCAGGAATTATGAATATGTCATGTATGTCTTATCTGTGAATTATAAACGTTAGCAGTCAGTACTATATTATTTAAATTATGCAAGGAAACCCGCTTAATTTCTAGACTTCACTGTCAGACACTATTGAGTGACTGACTGTTATTTCTTTAATAACATACATAAATATAATGAGCTGTAAAGGTTCATGAGCATTTGTGTACATCAATAATCCCGGCTTCTTGTAATGGCCAAAAATAAACTGATTAAGCCTTTACGCAGCACAATACGTACGGCCATTCGGTACATGGGTCTGAAAATCAGACTATTACTAAAATGAAGGCAATCAGTAAAGTCTATTCGACAACTAACGGTCATTATTTCCCGACTAAAAGACATTTTTCAAGCCCTTTCGTTTTGAGGGAAGTTCTTAATTAGTGTCATCTTTCAAATGCCGTTGGAATTTAACTTTTTTTTTTTTTTTTTTTTTTGGGGGGGGGGGGGGGCTTCAAGCTCTCACCCTTACTCTAAACTTTTGACTTCATGAAGCCCGGAAGAACTGTAGCCGGAGCAATGTCGAATCACCAGGGCACCCATGAAAAATGTGGATAGCTGGCCTTACTAGGCAGGTTAATTCTATAACATTTTCTTGTTCGAGAAACATCAATTATTATTAGACAGGAAGCATTGATAAAGAGGGCCAGGGGACGACTTTCTTTACAATTATACACTGAGTACGGGCGCAGAGAATAAATGGATGTCGTTACTTTGAATTTTTATGTCTCTTTTGTTTGATAACCGTTACACAACCAGAGTTTAATTAAGTCAATTAGTTGAATTGGGCTTATTAGGCTATATAAATATAAAATAAAATAAATTAAATTGTGTGAATGCCAATTTTTTCCTCTTTTTTTTCCTTCCTTTTTATAACAAATACAAAATTTAAATAATGTACTTAGTTTTTTATACAATTACTGGAGACAGACTTTTACATAAGGCCCGGCCTTCCTGTCTAGTCTCCAAATACTTTCATTAATGTACATGTTTAAAATGTTTTTCCCTTGTCCATCATGTCTTCTCCACTTGTGTTATCCTCATGTTATATATTGATACATGTATTATATTCTAACTTTTATATATATATATAATAATAATAATAATAATAATAATAATAATAATAGCCTAATAGTCCACTCCAAATTTTATCAAACCGACACGGAAATTCTTTTTGCCCAATTATTGATCGTGAGCCCGGCAGCCACTGAACAGCGCCAGATCGACGTTGCTCTATCCCTTATTGTTGAACGCCAAACAAGGTAGCAACAACTCCCATCTTTTAACGTCTTTTGGTATGACGCGGCCGGGGTTCGAACCTACGACCTCCCGGTTGTGAGGTGGACGCTCTACTGACTGAGCCAATACTCCGGTATATTTGTTTTCCTTGTATATTTTTAATGAAAGTATCGAATAAAGTGAACTTAACCTTGGACTTGAACTTGAAATTCATAATTTTTAGTGCATGCCTATTTTTTTCCATTAGCGCTTACTTTAATTTTATGAAATATTTTTATTTCTCCAAACAAATCAAAAGTATTAATCAAAACATAGTAAACACAAATCAAATCATTCAGAAGTTAAATCAATTACGAGTCGAAAGTAAATTCGCACATTTTCTTTATCGTTCAAAACAGTATAGCCCACAGAACATAATTAAGCTTAGGACATTTTTTTAGGATTGTCGGGACTCGAAAGCCTCAGCGAGGCGCGGCCGCGGGAGGGGGTTTCTTCTTTTTTTTTGGGGGGGGGGGGAGGGGGTTCATGGATATTTTTAGGCCCCCACCAAAAGTATTGGCTCCCGGTTCTTAAGCAGTATGCAGAAGAACAATATTCAAATTGTACATACATGTTAAAATATTTTTTGAAATAATACTGGACTAGTCTAGTGTAAACGACACTCGTTGAACTCTTCAGTGTCGCGATTGCACAGATATGCAGGCCCTCTGTTGATCATTTCATGCCACTCATTATTGGACGGAAATCTGCAGTTGAAAAATAAGTAGCCATGGCTGTCGATCTTGAACTGAAAAAGGTAAATTTAAACTACTTTTTATTGAAATTAGCTCTCCGTAAGGATTCAGTGGTTATGGAAGAATAACATATATTCAAATTTTATTAGTAATGTCTTAACAAATTTGTATATAGGGCCTAGAGCATTTTATTATCTGATACCTGCATTGGTATCAGCCTCAGCGGCACGAGGGGACTTTTCTTGAAGAAATCACCGGGGTAACTCCGGGCAACCTGATGGCAGGTGTAGGTATGGCTTAGCTACACTGCACTGTAGCTGCCCTAGTTTAGGCAGTGCAACAATGCAATGCATGATGTCTAAACTCTTACTGTAAACGGTATGGACCTCATACACGCACTAACGTACACCCTGCACATGTCTGTCTGAGTGAGTAGGTAGTGTAGCAATGATTGAGTGATAGATCTAATTTGAGATGCTCAATCTTTTTTGGTGCGCTAATTATTTTTACACCCAAGAATAAGACAGTTAAGTTTGGGGGGGGGGGGGGCTAGACCTAGATCTACGCACATTTGTCGTTTGCACTGTGGGAGCACGTAGTTCTAGAACTTTACGCATTGAGAGAAAATCAAATAACGTGCTCTCATTGGCTGATCCGCTTAAGAGGTTTTGAATTTAAGTTAGATGCCAATTGCGTAATTATATTACTTAAATCTTTAAAGGGACTTCGTAACATTGTTCAGATGAGAGACAATTATGCCAAGATAGTGCTTGACTACAATGATAGATGTAAACTTAAAGATAATGTGAAAGTTTGAGTGAAAACAGATCATTATTAATGATAAAAATTGGGAAAAACTGATCTGATTGATTTTTGAATTCTCTGAACTATATTATTACCATTTGATTAAATTTTAGGTGAATTTAAATCGTCACAAAGCAATGAGTTGGCTCTATACATGTAGACCTATACCATTCAAGACATTTAAATGTTGAAAGATTTTTAAAAGCCTGTCTTGTGTTTTTTTTTCATGGAAGAACGGTTGGGAAAATCCAAAAATAGTTCATTAGTTAGGAAAATTTACTGTTACTGTTAGAGGGTGCCGCACAGTGAAGCCTTCAAAGAAAACCATAGATATCTTTTCAGGATTTTTTGCATGTTAGAGGGTAAGTACAGTAGAAGGAATTATAATAAGTTACAATTCATACAACAGTTACAGTTTTTTAAATCAACCTTCAACAATGTTACCAAGTCACTGACATGTCATGCTTTAAACAGGTGATGCACTTCCTACATAACTGACACAAACTTAACCTTAAGTAAACTTTGGAAAAAATCGTAAAAAAATCAGAAGGTTTGACTGGAATATCATGATTTTGGTATCAGATCAAACAGAAACGCGCAAGCTTTCTCCTCGCACTAATATCTTATAAGTTGAGCAAATGGCAGTTAGCGAATTTTAGAAGGGCAGTTGTAGGCGCCAATTTAGGAAAATGAGGCTGAGACCGGATCAACGTTATGCGTGTGCGCTTTATGTAAGCTAAAGTTCTTTGTGGTGAGAGACCTGTTGTGGGGTGTTTCATAAAGCTGTTCGTAAAGTTACGCATGACTTTACAAATGACTTTAATATGAAAAACCAAATGGGATGCTCAATCATTTTGAACTGCATCAACTAAAGTTGAACTGTGCAGATGTAGATTAACATTCTACATGTAATTATAACAAACATTTTTAATGTAACTATAATTTTCGGCTACAATTTAATTGAGATTATGAGAAATACAGTCACACTTTGTTAAAATGTCAGGAAAACTTTTGGCATCCTATCTGGCACTTCATATTCAAGTCGTTCTTAAAGTCATGCGTAACTTTACAAACAGCTTTATGAAACACACCCCACTGATTTTATTACTATCCTGTTTATTATCCAAGTGAAATAATTCTTCCATTGCTTATAAACATCTAAACCTTCAGGCTTTCCAGGAGCAGCAGATCCGTATGATTGAGACGACGCAGCAGCTCAAGATAGCTGACATGCAGGTGGAGCAGCTGAAGAGAAAGCAGCAGCATTGCCGACTGACGGCCGCAGAGCTGGGCGCCCTTCCCGGAGAAACCAGGGTCTTCGAAGGAGTAGGAAGAATGTAAGATTATCAGTTTAACGTCTAGTTTGCAAGGAAAAAAAATATTAAACAAATTTGGGGGGCTACTTTTCAAGCTTTCTTGCATGGAAATAACACTCTTTAATTTATTTGCATTGAACTCTACGGAGTTATTTTGGGCTGTATTAAGACTTTCGGGGGCTCTTTTTGGCATTTTGGGGGCTAATTTGCCCCCAGCCCCAAGTATATTTTCCCTGCTAGTTTGAATGCCATTCCCGAGTTGAAAATTAAAAAATCAATGAGATTACAAGTATTTGCCCAAGACCCTGTAGCATAGAGATTTATAAAATGAATGTAGGTAACACTGATTTAGAATGTATAAGTAATATTTCTGTGCAGTGGTTTATACACCACTCCCTCCTTTTTCTAAATTTTTCATTGTTTAACATGCATAATGTAAAAATCCTTCTCTGTAGACGAGAGTTTTCCTTAGTTTAGTTATATTGGTCAGTATATTTGATTTTTCACAATCAATATATACAGACATACATGTAATAATATTAGTACAGAATATTTGTACGGAATCAGTTCCTGCTCAATTGACTTTTTATTGTCTTCAGAGCCAGAAGGGCCATTAACTTCTGAGTGTTGAAGCACATTTATAATTAATAATAGTTGATAACACCCTTCTGGCTCAAAAGAGACATTATATGAACTATGAAGCATGCATGTGGTCTTCTCTACCATGCACTTTATAAACACACTATCATGGTTTTCATTGCTATTGGACATAATCACATGTTCAAGTTTCAGGCAATAGGATACACTCTTTTAATCTATTTTATGTACTTTATTCATGTAGGTTCTTATTGCAAGACATGGAAGGAATTCAATCGGTACTTGCAAGCAGAGTCAATGAGGCAGAGAAACAAGTACAGAAAGTGCAGGTAACTATAGCAACTGCGATGCCCGCATATAGTTCATGTTAATTGTATCAGATTCATGTAATTTAATTAACAAAGTTAAATTTATTGATGATGATAACGATGAAGATGATGACGGTGACTCAAGTCGATTAACACCGAGATATTGAGCCATGCTTGAGTGAAATGAGAAAAATTACAGATTTGTGAAATCACTCATCTCATCTGAATGTAAAAGTGTGAAAGAATTAAAGGGTGCGCAAGAATTCAGTTGTCATGGTCAGCAAATTTATTTTTGGTCCCATTGCGTACTTTTCCTGTAGTTGCCATTACTCTCCAACTGCAATTCCTATTATGGTCTTTTGGTATAGTGGTTCATTCACTTGACTCTCGATCCTAGGGTTGAGGGATCAAATCTCAGCCTAGCACTAACGTCCTTTGGCAAGACATTAATCCATATTTGCCACTCTCCCCCTACCGGTAGGTGTAAATGGGTACATGTACCTTGCAATTGCAGGGGTAATAATAATTGCAGGGCCATCAGGAAGAACAACATTGATGCTGTAATGTCCTTTGGTAAGGCATTAATCCACATTTGCCACTCTCCACCTAGGTGTAAATGGGTACATGTACCTTGCAATTGCAGGGGTAACAATGATTGCAGGGCCCTCAGGAAGAACAACATTGATCCTGATGAGGATTCCCTGGGTGAAAAGTTTGATCATTAATCATTATCGAATGCTGCTCTGATTTCCTTTCAACTAATGAACTATTCTTGCTTTTTTTGCTCACAGAGTAACAAGACCTACCTTGAGCGAACCTTGAAGGACAGCGAAAGCAATCTCAGGGAACTGGTCGCGTCAAAAAGAGCAGCGAAACCCTAGCGTCACGTCCAGCAGTAGATCCAGTTAGCTTGTACGATAGTAGTCATCTGTTTATACACATGTAGTACTGAACAGGAAAGAGTGATGCTGTGTTTTCTGTAATGTTATCTTGAGAAACAGAAGGGCGATATGGACTTTGTAGGCATCAAGAGACCTTCTGTTTCTGATCTCGTGATATTATTTATGCTTTTTTAAGCCCACCATGCACTTTGTTATTGCATTTTTTTTTTCTTTTTTTTTTTCTTCAATATAAATTTTGCAAAGGGATCTATGTTGAGAGGCATGCTGAGTCTCTTTTGTCTAGAGTTTGGTTAATCTCAAGAACTGGGAACTGTAATGTTTGATATTGAAGATCTATTGATGATGGAGAAAGTCTATTTCCCAGGAGTTTGATCAAGTTAAGCATGTTGGTCCATCAGCATCTCAACTCTGCAATTCCTCAAGAATGCAATTGTCATGGGCAAATCCATTTACAATTAAGATATGTCCCGTACTATTTCACTCCTGCATGATTGTCTTACTCTTAGTATTGTGATCGGATTTGCATGCTGCCATGAAACTAGGATTTGGGAGATCCATCAGAATGTCAAGGTTGAGTTCTGGGAAGAAGTGAAATGATTTTTGTGAGCGTTTTCATTGTTATTATGCAAATGTGTAAGAACATCGGAGAAAAAATGTTCCCTGAAAAGCATGGCTCTTCAAATACCTTCATATTCTAAATATGACATGTAACAGCTTTAAAATGTGGGCCTCATTTTTTATATCACATGGTTGTGTAGTCCCAAATACATCTGTTTACAGTGCTTGTTACTTTTTACCAAGAATGGCTAAATTTCTCATCATTTGATGATTCCAGCACCAAGTTGCAGTACACACCAATATGCTACATGATCAACCTCTCCTGATTGATTTCATAATGCAATCGCATGACCAGAACTCAACTTTATCTTTAAGCCAAGTAGATTTGACATGGTGCAGGGTAGTCTTTTTCACTATTAAAAACGATATTGAAGAGAATGTTCAAAGGCTGATGAAAAGAAAAGGATAAGTGGCTAGTAACCGTAAGTATTGTGTAGCTGTACACATAATATTCTTATCATTCTTTAATGAAAATGAACATTCCCTTCCAAGATTTTGTTCATTTTTTGTAAGTTCTCTACCTTGTCTGTGGCAGCTAAAGTACAGAGCCTATGCAGTATGCTTCCAGCCTAGTCTCAGAGTGCAGATGCTGTTACGCACAGCGACTGACAAGGGTTTGTGCCTGCAAGTTAAGCATTTCTAATGGAATGCCTTTTGTCATATGTTTTATAATACAAGAAATCTTACATCTGTATTGTATAATGTGTTTTAAAATTGCTTTTGCATGAAGAACTAGCAAATTCAAACGTTTCTGAGCTAGCATTCAACCTTTCTGGTCTACTTAAGAGGGGGGGGGGGGGGGTAAATCTCAACAACGCAAAGAAAGTTTTCTAAACAGAACTGCCTGCATTCCTTTGCGGGGGCGATAGTAAGTGAAAATTGTTGTTTTGTCTCTGTGATGTTGCGAACACCATATACTTGCATCAGCGAAAAGATGTATGTGTTGCTTCTGGTATTTAAACAAAGGCATGACATAGAAAGGGAGCAAGTGTGTGGGTAAGATGGCTTGAAAAGGGACTTTTAGATTTGCATGGACTGAAACATGTGACGTCCATTCAAGGCAGTGCATTAAAAGGACGTCGATTGTAGCAATCCCCATTGTCTTCGTACGAATCTAAAAGTCCCTAATGTCTACCGTTATGTTGCTTGTACTGAATTATCAGTGATTGCAATTATTGTAATAAAGGTGTATTGAGTATGCAATATCCATTTGCAATTTCTACCCTTATCTTTTCTTGTGAAGTGTTAGAGTACTTTTTTAAAAAGAATATGAGGATGATGTGTGTTTGTTTGTTCATTTGTCTGCTTTCTGTCTTTACAGTATGTGAATGGAACATACATTGTTTACATTTTGCTTGTGTCCGTCTTCAAATAATGAAAGTTTTAGGGATTGTTAGTGTGTGCTGTAGATTGTGTGTTGATGTACATTAATTTAAGTGGAAGCTCGCCCTGATAATACGTTGGTTTTAATAGAAGGTAACGATTTATTACAAAAAAAGGAGGGTCCTCTCCCATTTGCCCTGTTTATACAACAGGTGTATGAAACAAATCTATTCCGTCATCAATAACTTAGAAAGTGAAAGCTTATGTAATTTATCAGGGTGGACTTCCTTTTTAAGGGAGTAACTGTCCTCTGGGGGGGGGGGGGGTGGGTAATTGTCCTCAGAGTTTATTTTCCAGGGTTAATTCTCTCTCTCTCTCTCTCTCTCTCTCTCTCCTCGCTCTCTCATTACCCCCTCGCTCTCTCATTACCCCCTCCCTCTCTCTCTCTCTCCCTTTCTCTCTATCCCTCTCCCACCCTCCAGCTCTCGCCATACCCTCTCCCACCACTCTAGCTTTTATTCTCTCTTGTTTGCTATTTTCTTTTGACACGATCGCAAGAACTTTCACGAAATGAGATCAAGGGCAATTGTAATACCATATTGTATATCCTTTCGAAATCATAAATCATGTTCAGATTACATAATAAATCATGTGGTAATGCTCGCATATGTCGAAAGGGGATGATCATATTGAAATTTATTTAAAAGCCCCTCTAAAGTGTTGGGAGTCCCAACATTTGATGGCAAAATTTCACTGTAATGTTATCATAATGTGAAAGAGGATTTCATTTAAAACACATTTTTGCAAGGATTTCCTGAGTCAAACAGAAAACCCCAATTATGTATTCTTTTTTCTTCAATATTTGTCTTCAAACACATTTTTATGCGGGAAACTTTGCAGAAGTGTGTCTTAAATGACAGCGTGTTACACATTATGGTACAATTGAAGTGAAATTTTGCCATCAAATTTTTGGCAAATTGGGCTCCCAAAACTTTAGAGGGGGGGGGGGGGGGGGGGGGGGGGTTAAGGTTGATATTCCGATTTTGTTTAAATTGCTATGTTGCCAATCAGGGATAGTTAATTACAAAACCGTCAATGCTTATATGAAAATGCAAAGCTTCATTTATCAGAATGTGTACTCCCACGCAACTTATAACTTTATATTCACCATGTCAGAGAAGAATGTTTTATTTTTCTTTTATTTATTGCACATTTCAAAACATAACACATTGCAAAACTTAATCAAGAATTACACTTAATGTGAATGGTGTATTTACAAAATTGTAGAAAATATGTCAACAAAGCAATGTCGACAATGGTTTTTAAATAACTTAACATATAATTTTGAATTCTTAGAAATTCTCAACGCATCTGATTTCATAAAAATATGGAATGAATCTATATTTTAAAGATTCGAATATAGACCTTTAATAATTTAATAAATTATCTTGACCAAAAACCTACAAACTTTCTTTCCATTGAATCGTACTAAGAACGAAAACTTCAACATCATTTATTAAAAAACCCTTCTAATATGGCGATTTTCAACTGCTTATTAAAATTCGTCGTGTGTTCATTTGGGTGTTAAAGGGAACCGAATCATCAAAATCATTATTAGGTGGGCTGTATCTAATACAGACCACCTTATAATTTTGTTAAAATTGCCTTTATTATTATTATTATTATTTATTATTTTTTTTCTTATTTCGACCCACTTTTTTGTGTTCAAGATAATTTGAAAATGGCTCAATCAAATATCTTAAAATTTAACACACATATGTATAGGCATATTCACAAAACACAGCAAATTTTTCGACCTTGACCTTGACTGATGACGTCATCTAGGCGCCATTTTGTGAAAAATTTTGAAAATCAACTTATGATCATATCTTCATAACCAAAAGTAATATCTCATTCATATTTATCATGATCAAGGTCAATATCAGTCCGGTCAAATTCAGGTCAAAAAACGCGCGCGTGCGCGTACGTCCGCGCGTCATTACGCGCGCAAAAATTTTAAATGCTCGAAATCGTCTTAAATTTTTTTTGCATACGTTTCAGGTCATTTTAAGCATTTTATAAAAAAATCGCGCGCACGAGCATGCGCGCGCGTTTTCGCGCGTTACACCATTACACAACATAGAATCGCCATTTTTTTTTCTTTCATGATATTTCTCATATTTTTTCGAGGAATTTGATACCATGTTTATCTCTTTATGTCCATTAACAACAAGATGAGCGTCAATTCAAGAAAAATGCCCGTGCGCGCGAGCTCTTTTAATACATAGCATATATGGGCAAAAACATGCCTATACAAAATCCATTATAGCTCTTTGGAATGAACCGTGACCTTCAATTTTTTTCATATTTAGATAGAGTATGAGTCGAAGATATGATTCCATGTCTCATTTGGCCATTAAGTGTATCGTGACATCATCATAATGGCCTTGGATCTCAAAATAGGAATTTGCATATTATGAAGTCAGCATATTTATGTAAAATTGATTGTATCTCTGGAAATATTTATCGATTTTCTTCCAAATTTCGATATGATGTAGCTTAGACAATTTTCTACAAGCTTAGTCATCACCATTTTTCATTTTGATGACGTCATCATAGTGAAAATTACGATTAAAGGGCACATATCAGAAATGTCTTAAGTAGCGTGTTATGCCTATTGAAGGTGAATTTCGTACATCTTTAATCTACATGACATTGTTTTTTTTAGCAGTATCTCGCTTATTTTTGCTCTATTTTGTCTCAAAGTTCAGTTTGACCAGCCCACCTATACTTGTTCCAAACAAGTATTATATGTCTAGTTTTTATTATTATCCTCTTATATTACAACTTCCAAAGCTTTGAAATACAAGTAAACTTGCGCCCTCTATACCTGTATAGCAAAAATGCCTAAGTGATGACCGTTGGTCCCCCATGGTCCCCCTTTTCTTATGTTAATTGAGAGCTGATTTGATGAGATAACTACCTATCAGTGACTATGCAGGGAGGTCTAATCCCTCCTGGCAAAACTAGTGCAGACAGGCTTTAAATAAAAAGTAATGGATCGTGTTTATTCTTTTTTATTCGACGCCCCCTTGGCCCTCGTCACGTGTAATCAAGGGAAATTATCGACGGAGGTCTAATTTCCCTTACTTGATTTTACATTCACATTTCGCAGACGGAGCTATATAACCCAGTTTCGGGAAAATATTTTATCATTAATTATTTTTTATTATTATTAATACTATTATTGATATTATAATAATGATTATTATAATGATAATTATGATTATGATTATCATTGTTATTATCATCATCATTATTATTACTACACGTACATTATTATTGATATTATTATAGCCCCATCGGTTAAAAGACTATGCCCATGTGCGTAAAATGAAAACTGATAACGACTGCAAAATATGTCTAGTATATGTTTCTATAAAATGTATCAATCCCTTCCACAAGCTCTAATCCACACAAAAGGTCACTTTACGTCATGCTATTTATCTTCCAAGTTTAATTTTTTGTCTCTGGCACTTTTCAAACCATTCATCTAGCTCGATGCCTAAAAATATTCTTTTTCATTGTGAGTTCATTTTCCAACATATTGACTAATTAAGACACTAATTCATCACCCTTTCCTCCTTAAACTAGCTACATCAGCTACTTGAATATCCGTACTTGTTGAATATACATAGCCTGTAACTGGTAATCATCTATTTATGAAGTAGTTCTGGGGCCTGTTTCATAAAACTTGTTATCTATAACAACTGCTAAATTTGTATGACAAATTTGCTCTCAGCCAATCAGATGCCATGATTTCAGTAGTTTGTAACGGTAGCTTGTAACTTGTTATTGATATCAAGTTTTATGAAACAGGGCCCTAGCTGTTGCCTTCAAAGAAGTTCATCCTCCACGTCGAGCCATCTTGATTAGATGCATATTGGCAAGTGTAGGGGTGGATTTTTTGATTTTCCAGACGTGCCCCAAAATTGACAACCTCTTTTTTGTTCTGCTTGATAGAGATTTCGGACACACATAACTCGTCAAAATATGTGAGGACCCGTCCCCCTTTTAGCATGTCAATTTAGAGGGTTTTTTTAATCCCAGGTCAAAATGCTCTGGGGCCGCCCCTGTCGATCGAATTGGGCAAAACTTCTGTAATATGGCTGTACAGTTAACTGAATGTTAGTATCCAGAGAGCTGCAGAGACAATCGGCCTACGAAACATTCACTCCGAATAATTGGCACGAATAGGCCATTTTCGTAATGTAATCAAATTGAATGCACACATCTTTGTCAAGACATAGTGCCTCAATCGTTACAAATTATTTCATTCATTTGTTATAAATAATTATATTTCAATAGCCAGAATACGAATTGCATAACTTCCGTATGGTTATGCTACGGTCACAAAAGTTCGTACGAACGATAATTCCGTACGATTCTCCCTGTTTTTCCATTGTCTGAAAATCGTTCGTACGGCGTTCGTAGCAGTTCGTAACGGCATTTGTGACCGAGGCTTTAGGTTGGACAAGCCATACTGTTTGTCCTACCTAGCACAAGTTAATGAAATGCAATTTGCATTTTAACTATTAAAACACAATTACATGTATTTATGACTGGTGAATGAAATAATTCGTATCGAGACACTACACAGTGATTATTGCATTATATTTAAATATATTAAGAAAATGGTTTATTCGTCTCAAGTTCGATATCATCATTCTTTGGTTGCTTTGCTGATGTTGAAAGAGCGACCTCAAGCGGTCGGTCAGTAGCCAGTGTGTTTAGGGCAGATCTCTACAGCTGAAGCTAACGGCTTTCTTTTTGGCGTCACCGCTGTACGAAGGGGGCTTGAGCAACCGTTTCTGGTCCTGACCTAAGTATAGAGGGAGTGGAACCGGAGTGGAAGGGGATCGAGATGGGAGAGGGGTGGAGGGGGAGAGAAACAGAAGGGAAGAAGAAGTGAACAAGAGAGTGGAATATAAAGAGAGATAGAGAAAGGGAGAGAGAGAGAGGGAGAGAGAGGGGGGGAGATGTGAGGAGATAGACAGAGAGAGAGGGAGAGAGAGATATAGATAGATAGATAGATAGAGAGAGAGAGAGAGAGAGAGAGAGAGAGAAAAAAAGACGGAGAGAGAGAGAGAGAGAGGGGGGGGGAAAGGGGGGGGGGAGGGGTGAGAAGAAGTGATATAGAGATGTGAGGAGATAGAAAGAGAGGAGAGCACGAACATTAAAATACTCACATATATGATTAGAATTCATGGGTCTTAAAATAACAAAATTCCAACACTCTTCGACCTATCTCATTTCTCGTTTAAACAGTGCATGAAGAGGAGGGTTGGGGGCTCATTCAGTTTCCAGACACTCAAAAATATATGACGAAACACGCCAAAATATCTCAAAAAATATCGGGCTCGTTTGAGGCAAGGGCTTGAATCGACATGTAGGAGTGCTGTCGACAAGATAGATCACTTGAATACAACCCCTCCAGTTCATCCCAGTGTCATATTCCGTAAACACTCGACAACTTTCCTCGTGTTCTAAATAAGAAAATGGAATTATTGCGCTTGACTTGGTTTCGAAAATTGTGTCAGAATAATGATTTTTGAGTTTTCTTGAAGTGTTGAGCGCTGGTACTTTTAAAATGGGTATTTTTCTTTTTCATACCTAAAAGTAAGTTTACGGTTTTTCATAACAGGAAATCAAAAAGAGTTCATGCATAGGATTATGACGCAGGCGATGGCGCATGGGTGTATGAATTTAACAAAAGAAGAATATATTTATGATATCAATATAAGCAAATAGGTGAATAAATGACTTCATCTATGCGGACTAAATTCTAAAAAAATATGTAATATGGAAGGCTTTTCATACAGGAACCTAATAAATTAAATTTTAGTTATATTAATTGAAATATCAATAAATTTTAAAATTGATGGTGAAAGCCTGTGCAAGATTGATCGTTAAAAGTGCATTTATTTAGAATCACCAAATCCGCACAATTTTGATAAAAAAGAAGTTGTTTCAAATACTATAATCAATAACCAGAATACAACTTTTGATTATGACGGATTACAAAAAAAAAACACATTACCTCTGTCTTTTGTTGAGGACTGAATCCTGATGGGCACGGTCTGTAGAATGAAAGAGAAACATGTGTGTGTGAGAGAGAGAGAGAGAGAGAGAGAGAGAGAGAGAGAGAGAGAGAGAGAGAGAGAGAGAGAAAGAGAGAGAGAAGAGAGAGAGAGAGAGAGAGAGAGAGAGGGTGGAGAGGGGAGAAAGCGAGAGGGATAGAAGAAGAGAGAAGGAGGGGGGATAGGAAGCGAGAAGAGAGAAGAAAGGGAGACATAGAAGACATGAAAGAGAAAAACAACAAAATTGAATAGCAAAGAGAACAAAAATGTAGAAGGAGAGAATGAGATAAATAGATAGACATATTATATAGATCGAAAGAGAGAGAGAGAGAGAGAGAAAGAGTAGTGAATATAGGAGTAGAATACGATAGGCATACGTAGGGATTAAATAAGGGGAAGGTGAGAAGCAACAGATTAGGGAGAGAGAAAATAGGTACATTCGAATGTAATTCTTTGTTTCTTATGATCGAAGAACATAACCTTGAGTGGAAACGAAACGCGTGCAACATAATCCCAGTATATCTATCTAGAGGAAAGACGACACAGATATTATGTATCACGAATTCGTACAATATAAATAGAACTTCTAAGCTCCGATTGGCGTCACAATATAACATGGTTAGCCCGTCACGTGCACGTCTAGCTCATCCAATCAAATTAATCAAAATTTCAAACAGTAACCTTACTATATACGGTATGTGAGTCATCGGGAGTTGAGGAAGAAAACTTGCGATCTCGATTGCCTTTCCGCTTATTTGTGTGTAAAGTGCCGGAGTAATGGGGTCGCCAAAAGAGAGAGAGCATAGTAAAAATATCTTGTACTATTGTTATCATTTAAGATAATGAACATTTATTATGGCGAAAAGAAATTGGAATAAAACACGTTAAAAACGCATCTTATGTTGTTTTGCTTGTATTTTTAAATGCACGTGCGAAATCTTTTGCTTAAAATTTCACAGCAGTTTTGTGTTGGTAATAGTCCACTTCGGAGATACTATCTGCGCATGGGCAAATACAGGTCATTTATACAAAACTGTAAAACCCACTGAGACGACTGCTGGATTTGGGAAAGTTATATTAATCCTTATTCATTTTTACACCACATGAGTTGTAAGGAAATAAAACACTTTGGTGTATCTGGCCAAAATTGCCAACTGATTCACAATTTTCAGGAAAAAATGATTAAAACAAGGAGGCTACAATAGGTCCTATGATTTAAATTTGTTATAGCCGATGCCGACAAGTATAAAACAGGTCTTCAAATCCCTTCCGGAATTGCACATCATTATGCGGGAGACGTTTTTAAAGGGGGTTTCGAATTTTCCTCTTCCTCACACCTCGAAAAAATACCCAATCCAATTATAAGATTTGAAGCATTTATACTTCTATAAGAATACAACTCTCCTTCAAATCTAGCTGTCTTCATGACCGTTGAGTTTCTTAAAATCTAACGCCTCCGGACATTGATTTTACCTCAGTATAAAGGCCTGTATCATCTTAACTTTCCACTTCGTTTTCTTAAATAACTTCTTCTTCTTCATCATCATCTTCTTTCTTCTTCTTCTTCTTCTTCTTCTTCTTCTTCTTCTTCTTCTTCTTCTTCTTCTTCTTCTTCTTCTTCTTCTTCTTCTTCTTCTTCTTCTTCTTCTTCTTCTTCTTCTTCTTCTTCTTCTTCTTCTTCTTCCTCTTCCTCTGTACGACGTCTACAGCTAAAGTTACAATTCATAGTTTGACTTAAACACATTTGAAGTTAAAGATAAGGTTGTTGAACATTTCTGGCATTAAAAAAAAAACATTCGGGATGCTATATGCTCCAAAATAACACCTTTCAAATCCTGCAGATATTTTATAAGTAATTTAAATGTCTTTGATGAAAATTAAGTGAATTAAATTAAATAGAGGGGAGAAATCTAAGCTGCATGCATGCAGGTAACACAAAACGTTCTTTGGACATTAAAAAACGTCTCCTGGACGTTTTGCGAACGTCATTATGGACATGATAACGTTGCGTTTTCCATGGGTGTCAAACAGAGTGTGCGTCGTGGGGCGACCCAGATTGTTTGTCACGCTCGGTGTGTTATTATTCTCTGATCGATCGATGTTGAGAGGAGAAGTCTGAGCTGCAATATGTCGTCTTAGATTTCAGTCCAGCTTGCCTAAGAGTTCACCAGCCTTCGGGTCAAGAGCGTGGGTCCGCATAGATTAACTACTATCTCCTAGAAAATTTCACATCAAAAGTTGTTCCTTTTGTTCTCCCTGGTGTGACCGGTACCCTCGGCTGCACTGATGAACAACTTTATCTCTTTACCCCTTTCACACTACAACTTTTTCCCATGTCCTGCCCGTCGCCGTGAACGAGGTACCTTATAGTCTTCATTCATTACGACCCTCTCTTCGGTACTTTTACATTACCGCTTTCACTTCTGTCCTCTAAAGTGTGAAGGAGGTAGTTATTAAAAATCCCCAATCCACATTGATTAATGTATTTATCTTCGAAACATATTTTAAAAAATCTGTTATGAAAAAAAAAACCCTCTTGTCTTCCCTGGTGTGAAATGGGAAAGGCCGTAACAATTCCTAGTGTTCATGGTTTAAACTTCTCTTTCTCGGCCCCTTTTGCGTCACGTACAGCCTTTTCATTTGTTCTCTCTTAAAGTGAAATGAGGTATAGCTACGATCAGCAATCCCTAATCTATATTGATTAACTAATATCTCTTCGACTCTTTCACACTTCAAACTACCCCCTCGTCCCGGTATCGTGAATGGGGGTAGACACCAACAACCCCCAGTCTGCATTAACTATATATTCACCTTTTCCACACTTCAACTCTCCCCCTGTACACACTGGTGTACACGAAATAAACTAGTTTGTCTGGTAATTGATGGCAAGCACTGGGGATCATTCGGCTATAAGTCGGGGATCAGTCTAAGAAATGTCGTCTACCCTTAACGACTGCCAAAAACCTCTCTGCGATCCCTAACAACTAACTCCCGATCAGCGGTTGTTTAAAGTCGGCTACTACATCTAGTATGACTTCGGCTTAAGTCAAGCACTCTATCTCTTTGCCACTATAATTTTCAAACCACCTTCCCAACTTCTCTCCTTGTAGCTTGTGATCGAAGTACCTTAGTCTGCATTAACCACTATATTTTTGAACTTTTCACGTAACAAAACTCCCATTATGTCCTCCCAAATATGATTTAGGGTTGCTTCGAGCAATCCCTTGTCATTATTTTCCACCTTCACAAGTATAACCTTCCCTATGTTTTCCCCGGTGCGAAAAGTGTATGGCTGCTATGAGCAAGGCCAGGTTAACATCGGTGACCTGGTATGATCTTTATTCAACCCGAAATTTATTCAAAAGTAAGAATGTTCTTGTAAATAAGATGCAAACTAGGGGACCTACACTTTTAGAGCGTATTCGAGGGACTAAGTCATTTAGAAGTAATGCCGTACACGAGCAATAACCTGGTTGCAAACCCGAGATCACTGGTTTATTAAGAGTTACGCCTCCTTATGTAATTATAAAGACGATATCTTCTTTCAACCTTACAAGGTATCACTTTGTCTCTCCTGCAAGGTGTAAATTGGGTATAGCTAGAAGCAAAGACCAGGTTACCGTGATTTTACTACTCTTTTTACGCCACTCTCCTAACCTAATCTTCCCTCCTGTTCCTCAGGATTTCTTAATATAAATTTAGACGTGAACGAGGTAGTTAAAACTGTAACAACTACATGCCTTCGCAATTTCATGTCCCAACTGATGTCTCAAAGGTACTTTTGCAGCTAACATATACTTGCAAGAGTCGGGACAAGTATGTAGCAAGAATATCGGACAAGGAGGGTTGGGGGGGGGGGGGGTAATAAATAGCGGACACGTTTGTGTCAAGAATATCGAGGACATTTTCAAATTGGATGGAAGTGGGTCAAAGAACTTGTCAACATATCTGCCAAGCAAGAGAATAAGACAGCGTTCAAATTTGACCAAAGGGGGAGGGGTGGGGTGGTAGATGGCCAAGTATATTATTCATGGCAGGAACATTGGAAATATTGGGGGTAACAAATTCTCGCGAAGGGGAAATGGCTATAAATATGTGTCAAGAAAATCGGGAAAAATTTTAAAGTAAAAGAAAAGATGTTGTCAAAATAAACCGCAGGGGCAGGGGAAAGTTGCCAAGTACGTCAATAATATCGGATAGATTTTCCCATTTAAGTGAAAAATTTGCTACTCCAACATTCTTCTACGAAAGAATTACACAATTAGAAAGCTCGTGAATATTTGTTTTTACAGCCTTTAACATAATTCATCCCTCTCGTGTGAAGCGTAATGCTTCTTATACCCCTCGAAGATCGACAGAACCCCCCCCCCCCCACCATGTATCAGAATGAATTATGCGAGGGTAAAACTCACTTCTTGTTCTGCGAGAAGAATCGACTTGGGAACGAATACTTGTGGTTTGTTGCAGCAAACTCCGCCACAACATGCAACCACAGATCCCGATATGGCAGCAACAAAATGGAAGAAGAAGACGGTGGAGATAATGCTGTTGACAATAATTGATGTTGTCTGCAAAGAGAATAGAAAAGATGAGGCCGATGAGATAATTTTATCTCAACTATTATTATTTATTATCAATGACAAAGATTCGGTCAAGAAACATGAATGATTAGGTTAATTTTGCACATTGGTAGATTTGGTGCAGAAAGTTAACGTATAACTGGAGCCTGCTTAGGAGTGAGGAACTAAGTTATTTTATAATTAAATGGTTTATGTCTCTTGATAATTAAGATAGAAAGAGTGTGTGTAAATAAAATACTAGACAGCTAGATAGACAGATGGATAAATAGATGGTTAAATAGTTGTATGGATGTTTGGATAGATTGATAGATGGATAGATGGATAAATAGACAGATAGATTAGATGGATGGATGTGTGGATATATAAATATACAGTGCGAAACAAAACCGAGAATTATCGAAGTTTTATGATAACTCAATCACAATTATAATTAATAAATTACACATATTTCACGCATGAGTGATTAAAAGCAATTTGAAGGAAGGAAACCAAAAAGTCATTTGGCGGGCGGTATCTGAATTTCGAAGAAAAATTCACGTTTCTAGAAAGTTCAGTTTCTGCCCATTCATTATTATGACACCTCAATCAGGAAAAAAGAGCCAGGAATAACAAATTCCCCCCCCCCCACAGGTGTACAAAATGGGTAGCTGGCAATGCTGGGGCGTTGTGGCGTGCTCCTGTAATCCAGCCAACAATGGAAGTTACAAACTGATTCAGCAGAGGACGCAGGTTCGAAACTGAGTCACGTTTCTCGGATGGTGACGTTCAAATGTCGGTCCCAGACGTAAATAATCATATATGATTGATACACGTCTGTAAACATCCAATTACACACACACATATACACACACACGCTGGATAAATTATGATTACATGGCTCCGGGCATAGAGCAGTATTAATAATGATAAGGATATGCTGTACCCCTGGGACAATAAGTCGCTCTAGATTTTAAGGGGAGTGGAATGGAAGAGGGGCGTTGGGAGGGGGGGGGGTAATAGGTTTGATGTTATACTCACGCAATTTTTGGTAAAGCCGTATGGATCTCCTTTGATCATGGTAACGAGGAAGGGGTGGTCCACGGGTCTCGCTGTGAACACCCTGGGGTGGTGACACGCCCAACTCTGGCAGATGGCATAGCTCATGCGGTACATGAACCCGAAACCTGCTACCACGGCACTCAGAATACACATCGCCATGTATGTCAAGATCTATCATGAGGAATATAGAAGTATTTATTTATATAAATGGAGAGAATTTCCGAATGATTGGTAATAATGTTAGTGATCATAATAGTAATACTGGTAATAATAATAATAATGATATCATAATAATAATAATAAAACAGAAAATACAAACACTACTGTACGAACACATAATTAAGACTTGGAAGGGAAGTCGACCCAGTGAAAGATTGAGCAATTCCGATTAAAAATAAGAAAGTTATGATTTTTTAAAGTTGCTATCAATCAAACACAAATTGGCAAGTCTTTGACTATCTTGCGAGCTCCCATCCCGTTTGCTCTGTACTAAAAAAAAGTCAATTGTTGTAATTTTCACTCAAGAAAATATTCTATCATACAGGCATCCTAAATATGATTCTTGCGAATGTGTGTCTATACATCACCTGTATGGAATAAAAACATTCTGTCATATGTCATCAATAACAAAGAAAATGAAAGTTTAGGGAATTGTATGTACAGAGCAAATTGGAAAGGAGCTCGCAAGATGCGTTTCAGTGTTGCCAATTTGTGTTTGATTTATCGCAACATTACAAAAAATTATACTCTCTAATCGGAACTTGCTCAAACTTTAATATTTTAATATCAGGATGGACTTCCCCTTTCAGGCTTTCTGGTAATTATCGAGAGAAAGCGTATTCCTAAATGTATTGGGTAGACATTTCTACAGAGCAGGAGCGGATGCCATGACTGATCGGTTTCCATACGTATTCTCGTTTTAACAGGGTGTACAGCTATAAAATGTTGTGAAGTTGATCGAAGAGTACGAACTAGAGTGTGTTTACGGATACATTGTAATATATAAGATAGAGTGAGATCGTTTTGCGCTTAAAATCAAAGAGGATACACTGCAAATTCGTTGTGTAACGACTTTACAAAACATCGGTTGGTTAACTCCTTACACAGGGGTTGTGTTAAGTTGTGTAAAATTTGATTGTATTGTTTCATTTTGTTGTTAATGTGAGTGGACCCCTATATGAAAAACAGCACTGATGCTATGATAACGGTGTTACATCCCACAAGTGGTACAAGTAGATAGCCTATATAATATAAAAATGAAGGGGGAAAAAGCTGTACCCGAACTTTGATTACTTACAACCTTTTTTCTTTGCTTGGCTGATTTTATACCTAGGATACCGGTCACAAGCAAAATCTGCAAAGAGAGAGAGAGAGAGAGGGAAAGAGGGAAACATTGAAAATTAAGTTGAGTTCTGGTCATATGATTGATAGTATTAAGCTTGTCTAATTGAAGTCAGTCAGGATGTAGGCATTAAACGCTAAAAATAATAACTTAGCAAGTTTTTATGGTATTATTATCGTGCTTTTTTAAAAGGTGGAGTCAATACATTTATATGGACCTTAAGTGATGAACAAAAAATTACAACTTAAATCACAGTTACAGGAAACGTACTACAAACCAGGAATGAACTGACAGACTAACAGACATACTTGATATAAATGTAAAGATTGGGGGGGGGGGGGGAGAAGGGTATGTGAGTTAGAGAGACTTCACAACTAGATTTTTAATTCAATTTCGATCAAAATACGTCTTCAGCTAACCCTATAGTGCGCCTCTTCTTCCCATTTAACGTAACGCAACTAAGTGAAAACGATGCTACGAGCTACGTCAATCGCGAACATGAGAACTATCAAAATATATCAACAGTTTTCGAGACAGTCACGTCGAGGCGGAATTAGAGGTAATCTTTCCCAAAAGAGAACGTTTGTTAAAATGTGGCAAAACGCCGCAGAATGTCTGGTTTTAAGTTTATATATATCTCTCTGTCCAGATGTTGCAAATATTGTAAAGGTGGAATAAGGACCAGTGGCATAACATAGGGTCATTTCATTGATGGGACACAACTTTAATAACCAAGAGAGGCAGTGTGTGTGTGTGAGGGTGATGGAGGGGGGGGGGGGGCTCCGCGCCGGTCCGGTCCGTCCTAGGTGGATTAATGAGAGAAAATAACGCTATGTTGAGAAAGAAGGGGCATACAATTCGCCTTAAATTTTATTTTTTTAAAGTTCGTGTTTCCAACTTACGTTCACACGTATATGCTTTATAGTTAATCAGCAGTAGATGTAAACTTGTTTTAGACATTTTTGCTTTCCTTAACTTTTTTTGCTTTTCGCGCTTTGTTCTTTTAGTGTCCATTAAACATTGGTATTCATCTTTGATTTTCTTTTTCAATGATGCCATTTATCTATTGAGTTTCAGCTTAAAATTTTCAGCTGAAGAAGTTCTGAAAATGGCTGCCATTCGAATCAGATTTAACATGAACAAGAAGAATACAATTTAGTTGTAGAGAGAGAGAGATAGAAATATGATTCTTTATATATTCATGCAGCTCTTTTAGTTTGTCGTGCATGCATTCATTTTTTCTTAACTCCTATATTTGCTACATAAAAAACAACAGCAGATGCAATCATAAACATTGTTCAATAATATTCAAGTAACTTATTTGTCTGTTTCTATCTGACCAGCAAAATAGTCGTTTCGAATATCATAAATAAGAAAACAGTAGTCCTAGCGTAGGTGGGGATTAACGAGTCGCTGCCAATCAAACTTATCGCTTGTTTTTCTATAAATGTCATCTACTATCAGTCAATCTGCTCAGCAGCAAGAATATTCGCCTCATTCCACTCTCGACATTTCCACTTAACCCCTTTGGGATAAAGTCTCCTTGAAGGGGCTTTTCCTACTCATTAGCTTCATAAACAAGTACAATAAAAAATGCCATTCCAAACATAAACATTAAGGCAGGTTTTCCATCTTAACTCCTGCAGATCAATCGCCGATCGCAATTCCGGATCCCGAATCCCCAAAGTCGAACGGCACGTAAACACAAGTGAGCGATTAGCCTGCAACTGCGTTCGAAAATTCACTAATCTCGCTGTGTCCCCATGGAAACATTGGCCTGCTTTTCATGAAAATGAGAAGGGAAGAAGGGGTCTGGAATTTATCTTGGGCAGACCTAATTCCCCTTATTTTCTTTCATTATATTCCCCTGATATCCCAAGAGTAGTGGTCCAGTTTCTTTGCGTTCTCGCATGCGATCACATGCGTGCAGAGCGTAACAATGAACCCTACTAAAGTATAGCGTGGACGGTCCCTTACGGAATACTGCGGAGTAATCTATTTTGGTCTTGTTCCGAGGCGGTTATTATTTGTCTATCCTTCTGCGGGGGGAAAAAGAAAGCAAGTGTTTTTTTCGCTGGTAAACAGGTTTGTGGATAGTTTTGTACTTCATTTTTGTTTCGTTAAAGACCCTATCCGTTGAAAATACAACTTAATATAAATGGAAAACTAAATGAATGTAGAATAAAAATATAAAGGAATACAAGTATTTACCTTTCATTATTGCACAAAAGCAAATTAAAACCTCATTTTCTGCACCCCTCGGGATTACGGGTCAACATGGGTCTGATTTGTCGAAATTACAGTGACGACATAACATGTGGACCCCATCGGTCACCTTTAGGCGATGAACCGTGCTTGATTAATGCAAAGTCATTGTGAATATGCCTACTCCACATAACGTGATGTCATCAAGTCGATAGCAAGTTTTTAGGTCGACAACTTCTGATTTTTCAAAGCTTTGGATTTTTAGTAATAAATGGCATCTAATTTACATTATTGTAGTCTATGGCTTATAAGCTTTCCGTTGATATAAAATTCATCCATTTCATTTTTCAGTTCGGATATGGTCTTTAAGAAAGTTAATGTGGTATGTGGCGTAGTGCCGTGAATAGAGTCACGGTTCTGGCCTCTTGGAAACGGTATAATCCAGGATATGAGACTAAGTTCAATAGTGCTCCAGTTCTCTCTAGTATGAGATTGAGTCTATAACTTGTCCCTTGGATAGGACTTTAAATCCGCAAGTCATCTTGATTTTACTGAACGTACGTTCGCTTCCTCAGCGCATGGGTAGGCATACACATACCAGCAAAGAAATCCAACAGATACACAATTAGACAAATCTAGAATTGTGTTGATTGTTATCCTCGTTCACATGGCGTATCCTGTGCTCAGTAATTGGGTGGGGGGGGGGGGGGGGAGGGCCTGTCACATAGTTCTTGTATTCAACAGATACACAATTAGACAAGACTAGAATAGTGTTGAACGTTATCCTCGTTCAAATGGCGTATTCTCTACCCAGTAATTGGGAGGGGAGGGGGGGGGGGGGGCGAAATAAGACACAAGGAACAAAGCCTTTTTTTTGGGGGGGGGGTTCACCTAGTTCTTCGATTTTTTTTTTTCCTCGCAATATTCTTCCCTTCTTTTTTCGCTCCCTCCTTCTTCTGTATCGTGCAAATTCGCAATCCGATTAGGAAGCAATTGAACATGCACCGTCCCCTATAACTATATGCCCCCGGCGCTACACCAATGCAAGGCCAGATAATGTCTGAATCCCTTACCCTAAATCCTGTATTGCTCTTCCAAGGACCGTACTGTAACTCTCCTGAAAAACAAGGGTGTCTTAAGACAATTTTGAATGGGGAGTTCGGATCAAAATTGCCGATCGATGTTTCAAAAATATTTTGCAACAAAAAAAAGGATGTTGATAGAAATGTCATTAAACGTGTCGAATTCCAAACAAAACAAGTGAAGAGAAGACTATAAGAAATGGCTGACAGAAAAAAATAATAATGAAGGGGGTCGAGGGTGATGCCCCCTTAGTGACGCCGCTGTGTTTGACACATGCCCACACGAGGGTCTGCATTCTGGGAAGAATCACGTAAATCTGGAGGGTCCTAACAAGCACGAAGCGTGACGGTCGCACGGACGGCCGCTCGGCGCATGATGATTTCCAATTCGACTCAAGAGCTCTCCATCGCCCTATTAACCCTGTTAACCTACTTGCCAAGATCATGGCCGGACTCCTTAGGGTAATGAAAGAGGGGGTTACAAGTTCGAGGGTATCATTATATACCCATGTTGTGCCGCTGTTGGAATGATCAGCCAAAAATAACCCCCTTGACACATTAATGGTCCTGTTTTGCATCGGCTAGCATGAGATAGCACTGTGAACATCGTGAAAGGTAACTGTCGAGAAATTTATTTGGAATGAAACATTTATGTCATCAGTAAGAAAGATTATGTATTGGGGGCTTCTGAAATCAACAAAAACTCAACAGAATTACTGATTTTCTCTACATAAACACAAACAGTGAAAGGCATTGCACACCAACATGACTTGTGCGGGACTACACACCATTACGGCATCAATATTTGGTCAAACTATTTCGAGTCATAATTTGGAATATGAGTACCTTTCAAAAGCAATCCTTTTTCATGTGACAATGCTGCTACGGTTTTTTCCCCCACAAAATGGATAGAAATAACAGGAAACCTCCTAAATTAGTTGTCATCTTTATCACAGCTCCACCTTCTATTAAAAGTCCCCTTTTTTTTCTCACTCTAGGAAACTAGTAGGTCGATTATATAAACACAATTTGTATGGAAAAGGTAATTTTCATTATTACGCAACAGGATTAGACACAGTGCAATTGTGTGTAGATATTTTTTCCCCTCTTTCCGCTCAAGCATCTGGTATATTCATTAAGACACTAAATAAAAAATCATTAAGCCAATCACAAAATTGGCAAACTGTCCCTCATCATCTGCAGTGGTTATCAATAATGAACGTCTAAATCTCAGCGGTTCAATGATGGGATTTAGACGTGCATTATTAATCAGTGTCGGGAGAGTATAGCCGGGTGTAGTAATGATATGTAGTTAATCCCACCCCGACTGATTGTGACCTAATTTAGGAGGTGAAACTGGGCCAATCTATCGAATCGTGACAGACTCACCGCTGTGGCTGTCCTCCCAGTAGAGCAGGTATTTGATTGTGCAGGAGAAAAAAATTCGACCGCCATTAATATTAGGGTGATTTATTGCAAAAATACACATGTAATTTTCCAATACGTATTCATGAGTATGTAAAGGCAAGCGCATGCGCATTCGTTATCAATCTTATATCTTCGACAAAATAACGGCAATCAACAAAATGTCCCTAGGGGCGTTTCACAAAACTTGTCATCAGTGACAAATGACAGTTGTTGTTATAAGCTACTGATATCCTTGCTTCTGATTGGTTATCAGCAGATTTGTCACTGATATTTGTCATTGAAAGGAGGCTTTGTGAA